GTCCTCCCGGAGATCGTCCATCGTCACTCCCTGGTGGACATCTGGCTCGGCCACCACCAGGACGACAATTCCACCTTTACCTATGTCCAGATGGAAATCAATAGGTTGCGCTACTCCTGGTTGGACTGCATTTATCTATCACGCTCCCATCTTGCATGGGTCCACTCCTCCAGCATGCAGTCGGCCCCATTCTCGGATCACCATCTGGTGGCCATGACGGCCTCTCTCATCTCAGAGAGCCCAGGGCCAGCCTGTTGGCATTTCACTTAGAGCCTGCTGGAGGACGTGACTTTGTGACATCCTTCCAGGAGTTCTGGATAGCCTGGCGAGGGCAGCAGCGTGCCTTTCCCTCGGCCTGGTGGTGGTGGGATGTGGGGAAGATGCGCGCCTGGCTCTTCTGCCGTGACTATACCCAGGGCGCCAGCCAGCAGAGGGATGGGGTGATAGAGCAGTTGGAGTGGGATGTCTGGGAGGAGATTGCTTTCAGGAGCACTGGAGTTCTCTGATCAGTATCCCCCTCTGGATCCCTAGTTTTGAACCTGTGATCTCCACTCCCTGCCCTGTTATTTCTCAGTTGTGCCCCGTATTTAGTCGAGTCCTGGGTCCAGTGGTTCTTCCCACATGGCAGGGGGAGGGACCCTTAGTGTCCTGGATTAGGTGGGCAATGATGACATAGCAGTATCAACTCTTCATGAATGGTCCCATATTGATATAACTGGAGACTGACATCTGCTTAATCCACCACATGCAGCAGCTGTGTGAACTTGTGCATGATATCCTGTCAGTGTGCTTATTTCCTAACCCGGAGGCCCCATCTGTAGGGGTAAGAAGGTGGTTCAGTTTCATACCTGGTGGCTGAGATAACCCCGTTGTGCGCTGGTGACTTCCAGGATGTGTGGGTATCTGGAATTGGACTGAAGGTGGAAGAGCCCCTTTGCTGATGGTAATACTCAAAAGTTGCTACTGAGTGAGGCTGAGTTCAGACTTGCAACCTAGATGTGCCAGGGGCTTTGTACCATAGTACAAATCACAGGAGTGATTTTAGGTTTCCAACTTGCAGTGTAACAATTAGCTGCTGTTAGTCTCCTCTGAAGCATATCTGTATGTAGTGCTGTCTGGATTTCAGTGACTCTTTCCAGGAAATATTGAAATACATTATGTGGGACTGACTGTCCTTCCCAAAGACCACATGGGAGACTTGACACTGCTCTTTCCTGCAGTAGGGTATCCAGAAGACAGTCAGCCCCACACAAGATTGGCAGATGAAATTCAATGTTGATAAATGCAAAGTAATACGCATTGGAAAACATCATCCCAACTGTTAAGGAAAAGTTAGCACATGTGACTCCATTTTGGTTTGGGGCCCACCATTGTCTAAAAGCAAGCACATCATGTACCAGGAGGAGTGTTCCTTAGATACTGCATTCCTGTGAAAATCCTCCTCCTTGTCTCCAGCCTGCCTTGACTCCCGGTATCTGTTCTTTGTCCGTCTCTAACTCCCTATCTCCTGGCCTTTGATGTGAGGCCTCCCATCCTGATAATAAAAATTACTGATGCATCGCTTTAGGACCATGCTGTGTAATTAACATACTAGTTTAGCACGAGCAAGCAGGGATAGGTGGTAGATAAGAAAAGGGTTTGTTTATTGGCTAAGGTTTCCGATGCACGAGGGCAACATGCTTTGCTAAGAGGTATATAACCTTTGTATAATCTGTATTCGGGGTCCCCTCCTGGTTAGCAGGGGGGCACCAAGCTCGAGCGTAATAAACTTGGTGTTTTTTGGGAACTCTGCAGTTGTGGACTTTGTTTATGTGCCTCAGCCTAGATTCGAACTGTGCGTGTCCTACCAGGTGTAATTCGCAGCATTTGTGTGCGTGTCCTACCAGGTGTAATTTGTAACACAACTATAAAATGATGGGCTCTAAATTAGCTGTTACCCCTCAAGAAAGATCTTGGAGTCATTGTGGATTGTTCTTTGGAAACATCTACTCAATGTGCAGGGGCAGTCAAAAAAAAGAACAGAATGTTGGGAATCATTCGGAAAGGGACAGATAATCAGACAGAAAAGGTCATGTTGCCTCTGTAGAAATCCATGGTTCGCCCACAGCTTGAATACTGCGCGCAGATGTGATTGTCCCATCTCAAAACAGATAGACTGGCATTGGAAAAGGGCAACGAAAATGATGAGGGGAACAGCTGGAACAGCTGCCATATGAGGAGAGATTAATAGGACTGGGACTTTTCAGCTTAGAAAAAGAGATGACTAGGGGGGGTATGAGAGAGGTCTATAAATGTGGAGAAAGTAAATAAGGAAGTGTTGTTTACTCCTCATAACACAAGAACTGGGATCACCAAATGAAATTAATAGGCGGTGTGATACAGTCAGGGCAGACGGCTGCAAGAAGGTAGTGGAAGGCAGATATGTTAGCCCTAGAATGTTAAAGGCCCTTTCTCCTACAAACTGAGAAGGGGTTACCTCAGATTAATTGAATCCAAGTAAGGGCTGCCTGAGACCTTTTAAAACCCCTCCTCCAGTGAGAAAAAGAGAGGAGAGAGAGACAGACACCAGCTATTACCAGGCTTGTAGCAGCAGGGAATTAGCTTCTCCAGAAGGAGAGGTCGTGTTCCTTCCCATAAGGGAAGCAGACAAGCCCAAGTGCCAGCTAGGAGAAGGACTGACACCCCAGGACAAACAACAGGATGACACTCCGTCCCAGCGAGGAGGCAGGGAAAGGTATCACCCTTTGTTGGGTCTATGGGACTATTTCCCTTTCTTGAGTGGGGAAGTAGCGCCCCTTAGGCTTACCCTCAGGCATGCCCTGAAGACACAACCAAGGTAGCACTGAAGGGGGAAGGCAAACCCTGCCTGATTAGGACTGACTACCCCAGGCCCACCATTACCAGAGGGGAAAAATGCTAAGGCTGGCGAGAGAAAAAGAGGTGCCTTGCCCCAGCAGCAGATTCAGAAACAAACAAACGGAAGTATTTCTTCACACAAAGCACAGTTAACCTGTGGAACCCCTTGCCAGAAGATGTTGTGAAGGCCGAGACTATAAGAAGGTTAAAAAAAAAGAAATAGATAACTTCATTGAGGATAGGTCCATCCTGGCTAATAGCCATTGATGGACAGGGATACAAAACCTGTAGTCCAAACTGTGGGGCAGTGCAGAAGTAGCTCTGACTTCCAGTTGCTGCTCAGGGGTTGTCTGCACGGGGTAACTTTGACTCCCTGTTTCAGAGTAGCAGCCGTGTTAGTCTGTATTCGCAAAAAGAAAAGGAGTACTTGTGGCACCTTAGAGACTAACCAATTTATTTGAGCATGAGCTTTCGTGAGCTACAGCTCACTTCATCGGATGCGTTCAGTGGAAAATGCAGTGAGGATGTTTTATACACACAGACCATGAAAAAATGGGTGTTTATCACTTCAAAAGGTTTTCTCTCCCCCCACCCCACTCTCCTGCTGGTAACAGCTTATCTAAAGTGATCACTCTCCTTACAGTGTGTATGATAATCAAGGTGGGCCATTTCCAGCACAAATCCAGGGTTTAACCAGAGCGTCTGAGGAACAGTGGGGGGGGGGGGGGGGGGGAGGAAAAAACAAGGGGAAATAGGTTACCTTGCATAATGACTTAACCATTCCCAGTCTCTATTCAAGCCTAAGTCATTATGCAAGGTAACCTATTTCCCCTTGTTTTTTCCTCCCCCCTCCCCCACTGTTCCTCAGACGTCCTTGGCAGTTTCCACGGTATGCATCCGATGAAGTGAGCTGTAGCTCACGAAAGCTCATGCTCAAATAAATTGGTTAGTCTCTAAGGTGCCACAAGTACTCCTTTTCTATTTCCCCTTGTTTTTTCTTACCCCCCCCTCCACTGTTCCTCAGACGTTCTGGTTAAACCCTGGATTTGTGCTGGAAATGGCCCACCTTGATTATCATACACACTGTAAGGAGAGTGATCACTTTAGATAAGCTATTACCAGCAGGAGAGTGGGGTGGGGGGAGAGAAAACCTTTTGAAGTGATAAACACCCATTTTTTCATGGTCTGTGTGTATAAAACATCCTCACTGCATTTTCCACTGAACGCATCCGATGAAGTGAGCTGTAGCTCACGAAAGCTTATGCTCAAATAAATTGGTTAGTCTCTAAGGTGCCACAAGTACTCCTTTTCTTTTTGACTCCCTGTGTGGATGCTCTTATTTCTGGAATAAGGGCTTTATTCCATATTACTGTAATCCAAGTGGATTGGGTTAACCCAGGATAAGAGCACTCACACAGGGAGTTAGTGAGGAATACTACTCTGCTTTAAATTCACACCCTACCTTAATCTGCATTAATTTCACTGTAGACAAGGCCTTACTCTCCAGACCCTCCCCTTCCCCATAACTTCAGGACTGAGGCTTTTAACCATTTCAAGTTCTTTAGTATTTAAGTGTTGGGGATGAGCTGTCTACAACCATCATCTGCCTTCTTGCAGATGTAATTCTACCTGAGTCTGAGTCAGATCTGTGCACCATGTAGCAGACAGCATGACCATCATCAAATAGACAGAGGTAGATGTATCCACCAAAAAAGATTTTTCCACATTTTTAACAGCATATTTCTGGAACCATATCAAATGGCATGTCTAAAGTGCATTAGGCCACAAATCTACCTGGAAACACAGCTTAACTATCTTGTGAAATATAAAGGGCTAAGGATGGCTTTGCAGGCCTGATAGAATGCACATAACTCCATAGAGAACACAGGATTTGGATGAGCATAAACTGTTCCTCCTCAGGTTTCAGAGGAACAGCCGTGTTAGTCTGTATTCGCAAAAAGAAAAGGAGTACTTGTGGCACCTTAGAGACTAACCAATTTATTTGAGCATGAGCTTTCGTGAGCGAGCTGTGGCTCACGAAAGCTCATGCTCAAATAAATTGGTTAGTCTCTAAGGTGCCACAAGTACTCCTTTTCTTTTTGTTCCTCCTCAGTATCAGTCTCATGGGGTTTTCTCCTTTTTAGGACAACCTGCGAAGAGAACTGCTGGTCAGGTAACAAAGCCAGTTGACTTCCATTTCTGCTCAGATGAGAGGATTAAACAGCACACAGAAAGCCAACCTGGGAATGAATACAAGAAACTGGATTTCGTAGCAGCACTGAGAAAGTACCCCGCAACTCCGGTGAGAGGATGAGGAAGCAAGGGTGCTACCTGATTGTTCTAGATCTATTGGTGGCTGTCTCTTCCTGTTCCACTGTTTGCTAATGTGGGATTTGCTGATAGTAATTCACTGGGTGTGAATGAAAGAGGTCATGTGGGATGTGACAGACTAGTAGAAGTGCTGTGGACTTACTGAGCAACACAATGCTGGCTGTCGGCATCTCTGCAGAGTTTCCAAACTGGCCGATCCCAAGTTTTTAGTATGTCCAACCAGCTCACAAGTGGTGGAAGTGGAATCTGGAATCCCATCTACTATTCCAACAGGTTGAGTTCCCATGAGGCTTTGAAACAAGAGTAGTATGCCTTTCCTTGTACACCTACTCCTCAGATCTCCAAGGTAGGAACTAAGTATTCTTCCCTTACAGATGATTCCTTATCAGCAAGGCAGTTACAAGTCCTCATCCTAGTAACATACCAAGGATTCGATTTCCAAGCTGGAGTCTGCTTATTTAGCTACCTCTGAGTATCCATGCAGTAGGGTCTATCCCCAGCAGGGCTGAGTATGCACAGCTGTTCAAATTAGTGGGAGCTGTGGGTGCTCTTGACTCTGCATGGATTCTCTTCTTGCTGTCAAGGTAGTTTTGGGAGAAGAGAACTTCAGGGAGTTCATTAATACAAGTTGAAGATATGTCTACAGTATCTTCTACATAGTTACCTGTTGAGGTGGCAGTTGAGCGGTTAGGTGTAAACGGTGTTCTTGCTACCAGATGGGACTGGGTGAATACAGTAATGAAGGTAGTGATGTCTGCCCAACAACTGGGGAAATTGTTCCATGTAACAGAACACAGCCTCTGTGACTCCCCGGAATCGTATGTCATTAAAAAGGAGATACTGGCCATGGCTGCTGGGGTTGTGCCAGTAGTAACTGGAATCCCACTGGATTTCAATACTTTAGCTTTTAAGACTGCATTGTTAGATGGTTTGAATTCAAGAATGAAGGTAATTTTAGGACCCATAGATCCAGCTAGGGGATACCCAGAGTTAAAACATGAAATTGTTCGAGAAGCTGTAGTTTTTAAAGACATGCAGGGACAAGCGGGAAAAGGAAATAAGGACAGGAATATGGAGCCTGTACAGGCGGTAACTTTTGCCAACAACTGGGACCCAGATCACCAAGGGAAGCTGGGAGGAAAGGGGCCTGCTGCACTATGACATGTTAGAGGAAGGGGACAGGGAGGTGCAATGGACAGCAGAGGTGCAAGAGGAAGAAATGGATCTGGACATGGGTATCAGATGCAGACTAGAGGATGTCTGGCTCAAGCTGGGAAAGGTACATTGAACTTCCCTGCTCCCATACTCCAAGCCGGCTATGCTCCCTGCAGCTGGTTCGCTTCCAAACCACACCCAGGGACCAACTGTACATGCTCGTGCTCCACACATTGCATGTCCTCACCCTCTTATCCCGCCACGACTCCAAGTGGCGGGACTATTTACCACCTGTGGAGGGTGAGGAGCCCCGGTGGGCCAGCCTCTATTCCACCTTGGTCCCACGGCCCACCAGAGACATCGGTTGGCAACTCCTTCATGGAGCCGTAAGCACGGGTGTGTATCTGGTGTGGTTCACCCCCATTCCCGAGGCCTGCCCCTTCTGCAGAGTGAGGGAGAGCCTGGCACATGCCTACCTCGAATGCACCATGTGGCAGCCCCTATTCCGGCTCCTCCAGAACCTCTTGTTGAGGTTCTGGCTGCATTTTTCCCCCCACACCTGTTCATTTTCGCACACCCTATCCATGGCCCCACGAAGTCGTGAGACCTCCTCATCAACCTCCTCCTGGCTCTGGCCAAAGTTACCATCTATAACACCAGGAGGAGGATGTTGGACGAGGGGGTGCTCTGCAACTGTGGGGCCTATTTCTGTTCCTCCCTAGTCTCACGTCTCCGGGCAGAGTTTTACTGGGCAGCGTCCGCTGGCTCCCTCAACAGCTTTGAGGAGCAGTGGGCGCTGTCCAGGGTTCTCTGCTCGGTGTCTCCATCTGGTACCCTTGTTTTTAACCTGTGACCATCACTCCCGACCCTGTTTTCTCATTAGTTGTCCCACGCAACCAGTTGGAATCCAGGTCCAGAGGTCCCTCCTTGCGCTCACCCACCTCCCAGGATATCCAATAAGGTCTCACTGTATGCACCCCACCCGCGCTTCAAGCCATTTGGAGGAGCGCGGGTCCACTGCTCTGTCTCGATGTTTACCTTTCTGCCGCTCATCCTTCTCCGCCAGAGAACTGGCAGGGTTTGGAGGCCAGGATGGGTGAGTGGTGAGGGAGATGGACAGGACTGCTCCAGTGTCTCTCCCTGTGCGGGAGGGCACTGGTGCTGAACCAGCTAGTTCTGTCCCTGCTCTGGCACTGGCTCAACACCCTGAGCCCGGTCGCAGGGATCCTGGCCAGGCTCCACAGGACAGCTCTGGAGTTTTTCTGGCCAGGACTGCACTGGGTGTCTGCAGGGGTCCTGAGTCTTCCCCTGGAGAAGGGAGGACAGGACCTGGTCTGCCTTCGTAGCCAGGTCCATGTCTTCTGCCTCCAGGCCCTGCAGAGACTCCTTTGTGGTGCAGGTACTCCAGCGTGAAGCATGTTGGAGCATGCCTTCCTCCGCCACCTGCTCCTCCTGCCTCTCTGCAGTCTGCTCTGGATGGGAACCACTTGTGCATCTTTGCATATGGGCAAAACAATGTAATATCAGGCTGTTAAGAAAGAGATCCTGTCCTAATAACACCCACTATCACCAGATAAAGAAACAGATCTTAAGATGGTTAAAGAAAACTTAGTTTGATGGCATCTGTCTGGCAAGAAATCTCTGATCAATAGTTTCTTTATTGTTTTGTCTTTATGGTCCCCACTTTTCTATTTCAGAGTAACAGCCGTGTTAGTCTGTCTTTGCAAAAAGAAAAGGAGTACTTGTGGCACCTTAGAGACTAACCAATTTATTTGAGCATGAGCTTTCGTGAGCTACAGCTCACTTCATCGGATGCAATGAAGTGAGCTGTAGCTCACGAAAGCTCATGCTCATATAAATTGGTTAGTCTCTAAGGTGCCACAAGTACTCCTTCACTTTTCTATTGTTTGTCCGGTCTCTGCTTGGTTCTTTGTTTCTGTCAGTGACATAATTGATTTCGCTAGGTGTAAATTAAGGTGGTGGGGTATGAATGGTTAGAGAATTTTGTTACAATGTGTTAGGATTGGTTAGATAGATTTCAGTACAGTGATTGGTTAAAGTCTAGCGAAGCAGGATTCAAGTTTCACTGTATAAACTGGGGTCCAAGAAGGAGACCAGCAGGAAGAAAGAACAGAAGAAGAAGACGACACAGCCTAAGATCAAAGCTGCTAAGAATCCTCTGCACGACTGTGACCTGCAGCAACCAGATGAGACTGACCTTGCGGGGCCAGCAGGGAAAGGCCGCCAGCCTGATCAGGACCGGTGAGCAGAGCACTGTATGTTTAGCATGTGTATTCTGCTTGGTAATGGTCAATAAACAGAGGACAAGGATATTACAGTGGGAGGCTCTTTCACTGGTAAAAGGTCCTGCAAACCTGCCAAGTGTTAGGCCTTTGCCCTAGAAACTGGGTAAAGGTGGTGGGAATTGGGTGTGTGACTTTTGCTGAGGCCCTCAGCTGCCTGCATATAGGTGATGGCCGATGCCCTTTGTAACCTGAGACCCAGGAGGAGGATGCGACCAAGTGACACTTTACCTGGGAAGCAAGACAAAGACCGGAGGAGGAGCAAGGGATGTGGGGGAGGCCAGACAGCGGGATCCAGGGCCATCTGCTGTGTGGGACTGGAAGAGGGGGAGCCCAGGGCATCCGGCCCCGGAATCCCCCAAGATGGACTTTGCTGAAAGTCACTGATTTCTGTGTTAACAATATCTGTTCTACTCGGTGTTCCTGTCGACTAATAAACCTTGTTTTACAACACTGGCTGAGAGTCATGGCTGACTGCGGAGTTGGGATGCAGGGCCCTATGGCCTCCCCAGAGGCCCTGTCCAGGTATGCCCCCCATGGGGAAGTGTACGGTGTGAACAGGGATGCTGAATGCTCCAAGGTCAGACTAGGAAGGCCGTAGCCAAGGTGGCTTTTTGCCCTGGCCAGCATGGCCTGAGGGGAGTCACGCCACCCCAGAGTCCTGGCTGGCTTCATACAGAACAGTTCCAGCGCAACGGACCTGTGGCTCCGTGACAACCGTGACAACTGGTGGGAGAAGTGGGATAAACTGTACCCCGCAGACAAAGCATCCTGCAGTGAGTGACGGAGGAGCAGGAGAACAAAGGAGGATTAGCAAGAGCCAAGCGTGCTGAAGGCTCAGAGAGGTGCGGTTCCAGGAGGCAGAGGAGCCTACAGCTTAACCCTGAGAGTGGACCCCTGAGAAGGGCTGTCGCACTGAAGGGGTTCCTCCCAGGGATCGTGGGGAGCTGAGAGAGCACAGGCCTGTGAGTCTGTGACCACGTGGGAAGAGCGTGGAGATGGCGTATCACCATCTCCTTAAGGAGGACATTGTAGAGCTGTGCAGAGAGAGGGCTGCACATTGGAAAGCTCACTAAGGCACAGCTGATTGCTTAGTTGGAAGAGGAGGATCGCTCTAAGGAGCTAGTTCCTGACCCAGCTGGGGCTGTGACAGAGGCTGGGAGCAGCCAGGCAGCCTTAGGGCCTGCACCAGCCCGACCCAACTGAAGCCATGGGAGGGGCTGAGAGCAGCCAGGTGATCCTTGGACCCACCTCCCAGGGCAGCAGGGGATGTTCAGGGCCAAGTTCCCCATCTGTGGAGCTGAAACTGAAAGAACGGGAGGCCAGTGAGAGACAGCGAAAGCATGGGGAAGAGTAGAGACTCATGAACTGGCGATGGCAGAGTGAAAGGCAGAGGGACCCCTACCACAGTGAGTGGGGATGGTCCCAGGGTGGCCAAGCATGCAGGGAATTCCAATATAAAGTTGCTGCCCCAGTTTAAGGAAAGGGAGGATATAGATGCCTTCCTTACTGCCTTTGAGAAGGCCTGCAATGTGCACCCGATTGATCCGGAAAACAGGCTCTGACATCTCACCCCTTTACTGGGTCCCAAGGCCACAGAGATGTTCAGCCAGATAGATGGGGTGGAAGTAGGGGACTGTGGGCTGTTCAAGCAAACCCTGCTGCTTGTCTTCCTTCTTGTTTTTAATACTGGTATGGACTCAGCATGAGTGCTGGAAATAAAAGGTCTTTTACAGTTGTTGCCTGTGTGCACTCGGGGCCTTGGGTGGTGGTGGGGCACTGTCCAAGCCGCAAGGTGGGTGCACTGGGCTATCAGCTGGGCCTTGGCTGTATTGTTGTCCGCTAGAACCAGGTCTCTCTGGCCAGGAATGCATGTCTCCCTGTGTGAGAGCCTCTCTGCTGCTGTTCTCCCCCTCCACTGCCAGCTTCTCCTGCGCTGGCAGACACGCCCCACACCCAACTCCACTCAGGAGCAGGGCCCCTGCACTGCTGGGAGGGGAGGTCACCGCTGTTTGTCTCCAGGGGCCCAAGTAGGGGTGCCAAATGTCTAATCACACACACCCAAACACCCCTGCCCCACCCCTTCCCTGAGGCCACACCCCTGCCCCACTCACTGCATCCCTCCTCCCTTGCTCTCTCCCACCTTCACTCACTTTCACTGGGCTGGGGCAGGTGGTTGGGGTGCACGACGGGAGCAAGCTCTGAGAGGGGCTGGGGCAGGGGCACAGGACGGAGTGTGGTCTCTGGGAGAGAGAGTTTCAGTGCAGGAGGGGGCTCAGGATTGGGGCAGCAGGAAAGAGTTTGGGGTGCAGGTTCCAGGAGGAGGCTCAGGGCTGGGAGTTGGGGTGCAGGCTCTGGGAAGGAGTTAGGGTGCAGGAGGCAGCTCAGGGTTGGGGCAGCGGGTTGGGGTGCAGGAAAGTTTGGGGTGTAGGGTCTAGGAGGAGGCTGGGGGTTGGGGTAAAGGCTCTGGGGTGCAAAAGGGGGTGCAGGCTCCAGGAGGGAGTTTGGGTGCAGGAGGGGACTCAGGGCTGGGGCACAGGGTTGGGGTGCAGGAGGTGGTTTGGGGTGGGGCAGGGGTGTGGGAGAAGGTGCAGGCTCTGGGAGGGAATTTGAGTGCAGGAGGGGGCTCAAGGCTGGGGCAGGGAGTGGGGGTGCAGGCTCTGGGAGGGAGTCGGGGGGCGGGAAGGGGTGTGGGGTCCAGGAGGGGGTGCGGGGTCCAGGAGGGGCTCAGGGCTGGGGCAGACAGTTGGGTGCAGGAGGGGTTGCAGGGTCCAGGCTCTGGGAGGGGCTTCAGCACTGGGGAAGGGCTATGGAAGGAGGTGCAGGCTCTGGGAGGGAGTCGGGGGACGGGAAGGGGTGTGGGGTCCAGGAGGGGGTGCGGGGTCCAGGAGGGGCTCAGGGCTGGGGCAGACAGTTGGGTGCAGGAGGGGTTGCAGGGTCCAGGCTCTGGGAGGGGCTTCAGCACTGGGGAAGGGCTATGGAAGGAGGTGCAGGCTCTGGGAGGGAGTCGGGGGACGGGAAGGGGTGTGGGGTCCAGGAGGGGGTGCGGGGTCCAGGAGGGGGCTCAGGGCTGGGGCAGACAGTTGGGTGCAGGAGGGGTTGCAGGGTCCAGGCTCTGGGAGGGGCTTCAGCACTGGGGAAGGGCTATGGAAGGAGGTGCAGGCTCTGGGAGGGAGTCGGGGGACGGGAAGGGGTGTGGGGTCCAGGAGGGGGTGCGGGGTCCAGGAGGGGCTCAGGGCTGGGGCAGACAGTTGGGTGCAGGAGGGGTTGCAGGGTCCAGGCTCTGGGAGGGGCTTCAGCACTGGGGAAGGGCTATGGAAGGAGGTGCAGGCTCTGGGAGGGAGTCGGGGGGCGGGAAGGGGTGTGGGGTCCAGGAGGGGGTGCGGGGTCCAGGAGGGGCTCAGGGCTGGGGCAGACAGTTGGGTGCAGGAGGGGTTGCAGGGTCCAGGCTCTGGGAGGGGCTTCAGCACTGGGGAAGGGCTATGGAAGGAGGTGCAGGCTCTGGGAGGGAGTCGGGGGGCGGGAAGGGGTGTGGGGTCCAGGAGGGGGCTCGGGGCCAAGGCGGGGGGTGCGGTCTCTGGGAGGGAGTCTGGCGGCAGGAGGGGGGCGGGGTCTCTGGGAGGGAGCCTGGGGGCGCAGGAGGGGGGCGGGGTCTCTGGGAGGGAGCCTGGGGGCGCAGGAGGGGGGCTGAAGCGGGCTCTCTGCCTGCCGTAGGTCCGGGCAGCCCCGAGAAGCACAGCTGCGCATGCGCCGATGGCCGCTCCCGTACACGGCCCTTCGCGGCCGCCATTTCTGTGTACGGCGGACACGTGACTCGCAGCGACAGTGGCGGGCCGGAGGACGCTGCCCCGGGATGGGGCAATAGGCCCTCTTGGTGCTTGGAGCAAACCGCGCAGGCGCGATAGGTACCCACCGCAGGCTTCCGAGCGGGGGCGCCATCTTCTCGGGGAGAGTCTGAGCTGCACATGCGCAAACTCAGCTGTCAGATGCCATCTTGTCTCTCGGCTTTATTCAAGCTGCGCGCGCGCACTGAGCAGGCTTGGGCGGTGCTCGGGAAGGTTTGAGCCGCGTCGCGCTCCGTGTTGTACGGCAGCTCCTCTGGGCCAGTCCAGCCCCTTTCCCTAAACGGAACAATGGTCTCTGCCCGACCGCCTGAGGGAACAGGACAGTGCCGCCGTGCAGAGCGCGCCCACGGGCATCCCCGCATAGGCTGGCTGGCAGCGTCCCCCACCCCAAATGGAATGGAACAGTCCGGCCCTCTCCCTCCAGGGGCAACAGAGCCGCCCCGACCCCTCTCCCATGGGACGGGACGGTCTCGTCTGGGTCCCAGGCCGCTGATTGGCGGAACGGGATTACGTGACGTAAGAAACACAAAGCACTTTCCGTACAGAAAAATGGCCGCGCCTACTTGTAACGTAGGGGCCGAACAAGAAGACGGCGGCGGTGACGGGAGCGCGTCTTGTCCCGTTCGCTCATTGGCTCTGCGTATCTGACGCCCTTGTCGCGGATTCAGACTGAGAGGCAGCCCCTTGCTCTGATTGGGCCGCTGCTCCGTAACCTGTCGCCGTACGCGATCATGGCGGCGCCCGCTGGTGACAAAGGGCCACTTCCGGTCCTGCGCAGTCCGGGGAGGAGGGGAAATCGGTTTTTCCGGTGCTGGGCTTCGGAGGAGGAACCAGGAGGCGGGTGAGCGCGCGAGGGCTGGGGGGCGGGGCGGGGCCTGGGGTGTCTGGGGGGGGGGCCCTTGGGGTAGGGGAGGATCTGTGGGGCGGGGACAGGGCCTGGGGGGGTGGAGGATCTGCGGGGCGGGGGGGGCGGGATGTGGAGGATCTGTGGGGTGGGGGTGTGGAGGATGTGAGGGTAAGGAGGATCTGTGGGGTGCGGGGTTGGGGAGGATCTGTGGGGCTCCGGGCGGAGGGGGGACAGGGCCTGAGGATATGGGGTGGGTAAGGGATCTGTATAGCTATAGGGTGGGGTAAGGTCTGGGGTGGAGTGATATGGGATTGGTAGCAGGGTGGGGAGGATATAGGGTGGCTCCCAGGGACCGCGTGAGGTTTGGATATGGGATGGCTACAGGATGGGGCCTGTGTACCAGGGTGGAGTGAGGGGCAAGTACAGGATGGGGATGGGGCAGATGCTGGATTCCAGGGTGCATGAGGGGCCATAGAGGGAAAGCACTAGGTATGTGGTAGGGGGATATAGGGCAGGCTCTGGTTACTGGCTGGGGCATATAGAGAAGTAGGATTGGCATTGGGGGTGGGTACTGGGCCTGGCATGGAGATAGGGCTATAGAGTGGATCCTGGGGGTGGGTCCAGCACTCACCATTCTATCTCCCCATGCAGGCACTGCCCCCTGGGACTGAGAGACCCCCTGCACTGTGGGGGTTACTCCCCGTGGCTCCCCCCCGGGATGTGCCGTGCCCTCAGGCCCCCCCTACAGCTCTGATCCCCGACCCAGGCAGTGACCTACCCCCATGGCCGCCACAGTGGAGAGCAGCATCATTGTCTTGGACGATGAGGAGGAGGGGCTGCCACCACCTATGCCCAGGGAGCCCCCAGGGCCCGTCTCTGCCTCCCCACAGCCCAATGGGACCCCCACCAAGAAACCAGGTCCCCTGGCCCAGCATGGTGGCAGCTTCAAGGCTGAGAACGAACAGCTCTTTGGAGAGGTGAGTGCCCCAGGCAGAGTCCCCATCGCCCATGTATGGCCTTCCCTGGCCATGTACCCCTGTTCTCTCCCACCCCACATATACCCCTCCCACACCCATGGAGTTCTGTGTCCCTTCCCGATATCCCCCACCCTGCATCCTGTTCCCTGAGCCAGCCAGTCCCTGCTCTGGGGCTGGATCTGAGCTGGCACCCCCTAGAGGGGAAAGGCCCAGTGTCCCATTCCCCACCCTGTAAGCCAGCTCTGGGACCAGATTGGAGCCAGTGCCCCCTAGAGGGGAAAGGCCCTGTGTGCCACTCCCTGCACCTCTGAGCCAGCCAGTCTCTGCTCTGGGGCTGGATCAGAGCTGGTACCCCCCATGTCTCATTCCTCAGCCAGCTGGCCTGTGAGGCTTGGGGCTTGCTCTGCCCTGGCTAAATCTGCTGGGCTGATCCTGCCCTGTGGGTCTGAGCTCGGCGCACTTCCCCCGTTGTGAAAGGGGCTTGGGAGGGAGGCCTGTGTGGCGCGAAGCATGAACAGCCCACGGCTTGTGGGCCCTGGGAGGGGTGGGAGTGAGCAGATCTCCAGGGCTGACCCAGCTGAGGGGAGGAGACTCTGGTTTTGGTTCTTTATCAAACCGTAGGGACTGAAGATGAAAATGCCCGGGGAGGCGTTCCTGTGAACAGGGGCCCTGTCCCCCCCAAGCCCTCTCCCCTGAGCCTGGTCCACTGACCAAAACACCCTGTGACTCCATCAGTGCCTTGCTGCTCTGGGCTCTGTGCCCCTCGGTCCCCTGACCCTGCTGGCCATGTGACCACCTCTGTGTCCTGTGAGCATGTGTTCCTCTCTCCCCGCCCCCCAGCCCTAGCTCTGTGTCCACCTGGTCTGGACACCCATTCTCCCTTCCGCCGAGTCCTGAAGTGCTGGCACCCATCTGACCCTTCCCCCCATGTCTCTCTTTTCAGTTCCTGGAGTGCTGTAGCCGGCTGACGGAGGAGCACCCCGAGGTGATCCCATTCCTGGCCAGCCGGCACCAGAAGGCCAGCACCGAGTTCCTGGCCTCAGCCGAGTTTCGCAATGTGCTGGGGCGCTGCCTGACGCGTGTGCAGAGTAAGCGCAGCAAAGTCTATGTCTACATCAACGAGCTGTGCACTGTGCTCAAGGCCCACACGCAGCGCCGCAAGCTGGCGCTCAGCTCAGCCCCAGCCCCCGCCACCCCCCACCAGCTAGAGCCAGCGGCGCCCCAGGGGGAGGGGATGTCGGGACAGCGTGGCACCGGCTCCAAGCGGCAAATCCGCTACCTGGAGAACCTGCTGCGTGTCTACATGGGGGAGATCCGGCGGCTGCAGGAGCGGGAGCTGGACCTGGCTGAGCTGGACAGCGAGGACTCCACCTACCTGCAGGAGAGCCGGCTCAAGCGCAAGATGATGCACATCTTTGAGCGGCTTTGCCAGCTCAAGCAGTGCAGCAGCCTGACGGGCCGGGTGATTGAGCAGCGCATCCCCTACCGGGGCACCCGCTACCCGGAGGTCAACCGGCGCATCGAGCGCTTCGTCAACCGGCCCGACGTCTTCCCCGACTACACGGACATCCTCAAGGTGATCCAGAAGGCCAGCGCCCGCCACAGCCTGGGCCTGGCCAAGCGCCAGATGCAGAGCATGGCACTGGATGCCTTTCGCGAGGTGGGCAACCGCCTGCAGGAGCGGCGCCACCTCGACCTGGTCTACAACTTCGGTAGCCACCTCACAGACCAGTACCGGCCTGGTGAGAGCACCGGGGGATGGGGGGGCCGTAGCGACCAGTACCGGGCTGGTACGAGCGGGGGTGGGGGCGTAATGACCACTACTGGTCTGGTGAGAACGCGGTGGGGAGGGGGAAGAGACGTGTACTGACCAGTACCGGGCTGGTGACAGTGTGTGTGGGGGGACGTACCGACCAGTACCGGAACGGGGGGACATACCGATCAGTGCAGGCGGAACATACCAACTGTTGTCAGCCTGGTGAGAGCATTCGGGAGGGTGCGGGGGGCAGCATTGGTTGGGGAAGGCCAGATGAGGCGCTGCCCAGTCGTCGTAGAGAGAAGGGCAGGTGGGGTTATTCTGGGTTGGGGGCGGGAGGGGGAGTGTTTCCACTCAGGGCCCCTCTGACACCCCCCCCTATGTGCAGACACTGACCCCGCCCGGAGGGACTCTGCACTGGCCCGGCGGCTGCGGGAGAACCGTGAGGTGGCCCTGACGCGGCTGGACAGCGTTGTCTCGCGCTATGCCCAGCTGCAGGACGAGAGCGAGGAGGAGGAGCGTGTCCGCAAGAGAGCTGCCCAAGCCCGTGGCAGCGCTGCCCCCCGGCAGGAGGGGCTGCTGCCCCCACCCTGTCCCATGGCGCCAGACCCAGGGGAGGGGCAGTCCCACACGCAGGTGAGGTGGGGTGCATACGGCAGTGTGCGCCCTGTGGGGGGACAGAGCTCTCAAGCTGTGCCATGCACTTTGCCCAGCCCCCTGCATGGGGAAGGGAGTACTTCGGCTCCTGTGTGGGTGGGGCGGGGTGGGGTGGGGGGGAACGGGGACGATGATGAAGGGAGTTTGTAGACAGCCCTGTGGGGATGCGGCTGGCATAACACCCGATTCTCCACCCTCCCCAGGGCAGCCCCAGCGCAAGCACCGCAAGCCAAGGTGCACCTGTGGTCAGTGAGGAGGACGACTCGGAGGAGGAAGAGCCCTCATCAGACACAGACATTGAGGAGGAGCTGCAGCAGAGCCAAGAAGTGGGGGAGGAGGAAGAAGAGGATGCAGCCATGCAAGGTACATACCGCACAGAGCCAGGACTCCTGGATTCTATCCCAGCTCTGGGAGGGGAGTGGGGTCCAGTGGGTAGAGCAGCGGGGGCTGGGAGCCAGAACTCCTAGGTTCTGTCCCCTGCTCTGGGAGGGGAATTGGGTCTATTGGGATGTAATGGTTGGAGCAGAGGGGCTAGGAGCCAGGACTCTTGGGTTCTATTCTGTGGTGACTCTCCCAGATGCGGAAGCAGCAGGTGAGGACACGGCAGGGGACCAGGAGGACCAGTGCATGGAGTTGGGCCTGGAGCCGCTGCCATGCTCGTCAGGCGGGGAGGATCTGGAGGACGAGGATGAAGAGGAGGATGAAGAGGAAGATGAAGAGGAGGAGCCCCTGCCCCTTGCAGAGGGCGAAGGGCCTCCGTCACCCAAGGAGGGGCCACCATTCAGCCCGGTGCAGGAGCTGTTTGTGCTGGAGATTGAGGCGCTACCCCTGGAACTCAGCGAGACACCACCCCCCTCCCCCCAAATCCCAGGGGGCTCCGAGGCCACCCCCAAGGCCACCCCCTCGTCCCCAGAGCCCTCTGAGGCCACCCCACTGGGCCCCGCCTCCCCCGAGACAGTCTCTTCCCGGACTGAGCAGGAGGTCTCCCCGAAGGAGCCTGCTAGTTTTGCGGTGAAGCAGGAGGGAGGCGGCATGGGGGACTCCGGGCTCCGGACTCAGCCCCCTGCCAAGAGAAGGCAGCTGTCTGCCCCCAGGAGCCCCCTTGCCCGGCCCTTGGAGAACGGGGGCAGCATCATCAGCTCCACCAGCTTCAACGGCAGCACTGGGCCCCCGGCCTGCAAGAGGGGACGCCAGGAGCTGCCCTGTGGCAACAGGTGGGGGCAAGGGGAGACACGCCTGGCCAGGCAGTGTGTGAGGTGGGGGGAGCTCTGTGTGTCAGGTGAGGAGACAACAGGGGAGAAAGAAGTGGGCCTTGCACATCAAGGAGGGGATGCTGGGCTGGAGCTGACGCTGTGGTTCCCTCTCTTGTCCTGCTCTTGACTGGGAACCACAGCAATGGGTGAGGGTCTTTGCATGGGGGGCCTTGGTGGGACAGTCACTGTCAGGGTGTGGTGGCCACTCCAGCCCATCCGTGTCCAGCCATCCCCAGTGGGTGAAGGGGGCTGGGAGCAGAGCCTGTTCCAAGGGGCCCATGGGTTCAGGAACCATCTTCCCTCTTGGCCTGCCATGGGGAGGGTGGGCCCTGGTATGGGGGTGCATTGCGGGAGAAGGGGAACCCTGCCCCTGGTGTGATGGGCTGACTCCAGGTGCCACCCCATGCCGTCCCCTCCCCCATGACCCCCATCTCTCCCGCCCTTGCCAGCAGCTGCCTCGAGGTTCACAGCATCGGCTCAGAGGATGAGGACTTGGAGCTGCCGCTAGATGGCCTGCTGCCCCGCAGCCCTTTGCCTGACTCCACCCGTGCCGACTCGCCCTTCCATAGCTTGGTCAGCAGCTCCCAGGGCAGCCCGCAGCTGTGCCAGCGACTCCTGCCCAAGATCTGCAAGGTGAGGGGCTGGCCGAGGTGGGGGGTGAGTGGGGATGCCAGTTTGGATGAGAGGTGGCCTGACCATGTGTCCCTGCCCTGCTCTCTCCCCAGACCAGCGTGGCGACTCAGTGTGACCCGGAGGAGATCATCATTCTGTCGGACTCGGATTAGACCCTCTGTCTGCCCAGGGGGGCTGGAGACTCTGGGGAGCAGGGAGGGCAACAGGGTTTGTTTGTGGCTGATTCTGGGGTGGGGTTAAGGGGGTGGAGCAGAGCCCCCCCATCTCTTGGGCTGCCCCTCCCTCTTTGTACAAAAGAAACGTTTAAAAAACAAAAAAAACCTGAAAAATAAAATCTTTTTTCTTACTCAGCAGCTGCTGGCTCTGGGCTGTGACTGAGCTGGGGGGGTGGTAAAGGGATATGGGGGGGCAGGTGGCTCTGTGGGGGGAGGGGCTATGACTGAGCTGGGGGGCGCTAAGGGGTAAAGGGCCTGGGGGGCAGGTGGCTCTGTGGGGGGAGGGGGGCTGGCCTGTCCCTGGGCGGGGCACAGCTGGCTTTGGCGGGGCGGGGACTAGACGGGGAGGCCCCGCCCCTTTCCGGCCCTGTCTGTCACGGAGGAGGGAGTTAAAGAGCAGCTGGAGCCGTCGGAGGCCGCTTTTTCCCAGGGAAGGAACTGAGCCTGCGCAGCGCTGATCCCTTTAAGGCTCGGCATTTAAAGACGAAGTTCCGTTGTCGGCCGACGTTGGCTCAGCGATGGAGAGCGGCGGCTGGGCCTGCCCCTTTAAGAGGAAGGAGTTAAGGGACTCCACAATCCGGGCTGGGCCGCGTTAAAGGGGAGGGCGGGCTGTCGGCGGACAGTGCCCCCGTGGCAGCCTGCGGGCGACAGCGCCTGCCCCTTTAAACCAAGCAGGGGCGGGGCCGAGGACTGGGGGGAGGAGGGTGAGTAACAAGATGGTGGCGGCGGCCTGAGAGACCCGGAGCGCGAGCGCGCGGGTCAGCGGGGGGGCGACGGGAAGGAGGGGCCCAAGGGGGCTGGGGGGGTGGCATGGGGGGAGGGGCCTGTGGGCTGAGGAGCGGGGGGGAGCTGGGGGGCGACATGAGGGGGGAGGGGCCCGAGGGGTCTGTGGGCTGAGGAGCGGGGGAGAGCTGGGGGGCGACATGAGGGGGGGAGGGGCCCGAGGGGTCTGTGGGCTGAGGAGCGGGGGAGAGCTGGGGGGCGACATGAGGGGGGGAGGGGCCCGAGGGGTCTGTGGGCTGAGGAGCGGGGGAGAGCTGGGGGGCGACATGAGGGGGGAGGGGCCCGAGGGGTCTGTGGGCTGAGGAGCATGGGGGGGCCCGAGGGGGTCTGTGGGCAGAGGGGCGGGGAGAGCGGGGGGGGGGCAGAGGGTCTGGGGGGTGACATGAGGGGGGAGGTGCCCGAGTGATCTGTGGGCAGAGCGGGGGGGGGGAAGCTGGGGGGTGACATGGGGGGAGGTCTGTGGGTAGGGAGCTGGGGGGTGACATGGGGGGCCCGAGGGATCTGTGGGCAGAGGAGCGGGGGAAACTGGGGGGGGTGACATGAGGGGGGAAGGCCTAAGGAATCTGTGGGCAGAGGGGCGGGGAGGACATGGGGGGGGCGACATGAGGCAGGAGGGGCCCGAGGGGTCTAGGGGCGGGGGGGAGCTGGTGGGTGGCATGAGGAGAAAGGAGTCTGTGTGCAGAGGGGCTGGGGATTGGGGCACTGTGGGGGAGGCCAGTTGGCTTTGAGGTTGAAGGGGGCTAGGGGCAGGGTAGGAGCTGAAAGGAGGGTTGGGGGGTGACATGGCATGGGGCGGCTGGGAAGCAAGCTGGGGGGTATAAGGTGAGGGGCTGTTGGGGAGGGGGAGGAGGAGGCTCTGTGCGAGTTGAGATGGGCTAGGGGAGGTTTGCAGGAGGGAAGTATAAGGTCGGAGGGTCAGGGGTTGTGATCGGGTGGTGCCTGAGAGTTGGGGGCTGAAGTAGGGGGTTGGGGGAGGTTATGACCGGAGGGGTGGGGAGTGTTAAGGGCAGTTATGCGTGGGGGGCAGGGAGCCAGGCAGGGGCTCAGGGGTTACTTTATGATAAGGACATAAGAGGGACCAGACTGGGTCCGACCAATTGTCCATCTAGCCCAGTGGCCGGTGCCAGATGCTTCAGAGGGAATGAACAGAAAGGGGCAGTTATTGAGTGATCTCCCCTGTCACCCACTCCCAGCTTCTGGCAGACACTCCCTTATTCACTTTCTCCGCCCCATTCACGATGTGGTCGACCTCTGTCGTACCCCCTCAGTTATCTCTTTTCCGAGCTGAACGGTGCCAGTCGTTTTACTCTCTCTCCGCGTACGGAAGCTATTCCATCCCCCTGATCATTTTTGTAGCCCTTCTTTGTACTTTTTTGCAATTCCAATATATCTTTTTTGAGATGGCGCGACCAGATCTGCCTGCAGTATTCAAGGTGTGGGCGTACCATGGAGGCAGTACTATAGACAGGCAGTATGACCTTTTCTGTCTGATTATCTGTCCCTTTCCTAACGGTTCCCAACATTCTTTAGTTTTTTTGACGGCCGCTGCACATTGAGTGGATGTTTTCAGAGAACTATCCACGACTCCAAGATCTCTTTCTTGAGGGGTAACAGCTAATTTAGACCCCACCATTTTATATGTATAGCTGCGATGATGTTTTCCAACGTGCATTACTTTGCATTTATCAACACTGAATTTCATCTGCCATTTTGGTGCCCAGTCACCCAGTTTTGTGAGACCCCTTGGTAGCTTTGGACTTAACTGTCTTGAGTAATTTTATATCCTCTGCAAATTTGCCCTCTCACTGTTCACCCTTTTTCCCGAGGTTTGGGGATGTATGGGGATTGGGGCAGGGGCCGGTAGTGTTAGGCCGGGGGCGGGGGATATGGGGAGGTATGGGTGGGAAGGGGAGCTGGGCATGGGTTGATTATATAGCAGAAGCAGGAATGGGTGTTGGTGGGGTGGGAGGGCTGTAATGGGTGCTGAGGGGAGGGTGTGGAGGAGAAGCTGCGGTTTGGCAATAATGCAGGCAGGGAGAGTGCAGAGGGAAGGGAGGTGGATTGTGATGGGGAAGAGGGGGGCTGGAGGGGGCTCAGTGTGTGTGATGGGTGCCCCACACACCCCAGTCTCTCTGAGTGCCCTGGTTCTGCTCCCACAACCCGGAAACTATGTCTCTTTGCCTGGGGCTCCTCCTCCCCCACGTTCCCAGACACACTTGTATATCACTGTTCTTTCCAAACATGCTATGGACAGCCCAGACAGACCTCGGCCAAGTGCTGCAGGGCTGCGGGTGGTGGTGCTGTGGAGGAGTTAGGAGTTGGAGAAGGTCTTGTCCGAGGGGCGCACCCCAATAGGGGTCGGTAAGGATTTTCATGAGTTGGTTGGTCCCAGAGGGGGAGTTCATGGTGTTTTTTTGGGAATTGCTCTAACCTGGGGGATTGGGACTGGGGCACAATTGTCGCCTATGGTTCATTCCACAAAGGGTTAAATGTCTCAGTGACTCTCCTCAGATCCAGGGCCTGCCCTGCTCCCTGTGCTGGGGAGGGGTCTGAGTCACAGGATCTGTGGGGGTGCCCAACCAACAGAAGGCCCCCTCCCTGCCCTGGGGATCTTTGGAACGCAGCATCTGAGGAAGGAGGAGGGGTCTCCTTAGCACCCCATAGAGAGGGTCTCTGGGACACCAGATTGTTGGGGGTGTCTCCCAGCACCCCACAGCTCTAATCCTCTGTCTCTCGCAGGCAGTCCATCCCTGGCACCATGGACCCAGCATGCGGTGCCATTGTGCACGTGGACTTCCCTGAGATCACCAGCGCCCTGCTGGAGAACCTGAACCAGCAGCGGGTGGAGGGCAAGCTGTGCGACATCTCCATCCACGTGCAGGGCCGGGTGTTCCGGGCCCACCGGGCCGTGCTCGCCGCCTCCTCGCCCTACTTCCACGACCAGGTGCTGCTGAAGAACATGACGTCCATTGTGCTGCCCAACGTCATGGACCCGGGCGCCTTTGAGACAGTGCTGGGCTCCGCGTACACTGGCAAGCTGAGCATGGCCTCGGACGAGATTGTCAACTTCCTCACCGTGGGCAGTGTGCTGCAGATGTGGCACATCGTGGACAAGTGCACGGAGCTGCTCAAGGAGGGGCGGGGCACCACTGGCCCCTCGCCTTCCTCCTCTTTCCGTGCCCACTCCAGCCGCACCAGCGAGAACCAGTCCCCCAGCAGCAGTAACTACTTCAGCCCTCGGGAGACGGGCGAGGGGCCGGAGCATGGGCCTGCCAAGTACGCGCTGCGAGGGGTGGCTGGCGGCATAGAGCGGGATGGGTCGGAGGGGCCGGATGAGGAGGTGATCTTCCAGGCCGAGAAGGGTCCCACCCGCTGCCCCGAGCCCTTCTCCGGCGGCAGCAAGTTCATCCTGGAGACAGACGATGACGTGAGTGACAGCGGCGGGGATGGGGGGGGCGGGGGGCGGCGCCCAGCCTACGTGCAGCCCAGCATCATGCCGCAGAAGCAGTGGGTGTACATCAAGAAGGAGCGGTCCCAGGAGGACTTGGTGCTGACGTGCGAGGAGGACGAGGACCCGGTGGAGGTGGGGCCGGCCCCTGGTGAGCCCCCCCTCAGCATCAGTGACGTCCGTACGCTGACCGAGCCCTCCGGGGCCAAGCTGGAGGAGCAGGTCAACTTCTGCGAGTCCTCGGAGGACTTCCCCTCGCCCTACGAGGGGCTGGAGGAGGGGCCGGGTAGTGGCGGCAGCTTTGCCCAGCGTTCCCTCATGCCCATGGACATGCAGGGCAACCAGATCCTGGTCTTCCCCCCCCCAGACCCCTGTGGAGCACGGGGCCGTGCAGCTGGCGGCCGGCTCGGGCGATGGCAACAAGATCTTCATGTGCCACTGCGGCAAGGCCTTCTCCCACAAGAGCATGCGCGACCGGCACGTCAACATGCACCTCAACCTGCGCCCCTTCGACTGCCCCGTCTGCAACAAGAAGTTCAAGATGAAGCACCACCTGACGGAGCACATGAAGACGCACACCGGCCTCAAGCCCTACGAGTGCGACGTCTGTGCCAAGAAGTTCATGTGGCGAGACAGCTTCATGCGCCACAAGGGGCACTGCGAGCGGCGCCACCGCCTCTCTGGGGCGGGTGGGGGACTCAAGAAGGAGCCTGTAGCCGCAGGCGCGGGAGGGGAGGGCGACTGGGCAGTGCTGCGGGAGCCCCAGGCTGCCGGCAGGTCTCCACGCAGCGAACTGGGCTTCGGTGGGGGGAGCGGGGCGAAGATGTGACGTGGCGGACGGCCTCCCCTGCCCTGCACATGGACACCCCCTCCTCCCCAACAGCCCCTGGGGCACAGACATGACATGCCCCCCCCACCCCCATCCGAGATGCACAGACTCGACAGTGACTGGATCCCCACCTGAAGCAGCCAGCTCTTCCCAGGATGCTGTGGGGCGGGGGGGGGGCCGAGGAGTCAGGATGCCCTCTGGGGGTGGGGTGAGACAGGAAGCAGTGATGATTGTACAGACTGAAGTCTCTGTCGGGGTCCTGGGTAGTGAATTCCATGCCCGCACTCCACTGCCAGGAGGGAGCTGGATTCCTGGGATGTGGTTTTGTGGGTCCATAGCTGTGTACCCTGGGGGGACCTGGACTCCTGGGTCCCTGAGGAACTCTTAACACTAACCCCCCATCCTTGCTGGGTGGGGGGCACCTCCCTCGCCCATGATGGGCTAAGGAGACTGGGGGTAGGGTGTGTTTGTGGGGTGTGGCCCCTCTGTGCTGTGTGTAGCGTCGGTGAGTCTGTCCTGTCCCTGTCTGTCTGGCCGTCTGTGATTCACTTTGGTTTTCTCATATGTGTAATGACTGATGCTGAACCTGCAGCCCACCCCCTCTATCCCTTCTGGAGGATGGGGCAACCCCAAATCTCCCCTCAGACTACCCTCACCCCTCCTCCCTGGGCCAGTCCCCCTGGACCCCAATTTATGGCCAAAGGGCTAGTGTGATCCTTGGAGGTACAAACAAGGCAGTCACATGCAGGTTTGATTTTACCTTGTACCTGGCCCTGGGGCAGCCGCCGCTGGGCTCCTGTGTCCAGGTCTGGGGCCCGTGCTCCCAGACGGATGGGGATATGTTGGAGAGGGGCTGGAGGAGAGCTCAGAAAAAGCTGAAAGATACAAGGTACAGGCCTTGCAGCGATAGACTCAAGCTGCTCACATGGAGATGGCAAAGGAGTGACTGGATCCCCGCCTTGGAACAGAGCTGTGAAGCAAGGGTTCTTTGGCCCAGCAGCCAGAGAGCCAGAGTCTGGAGACCAGGGGCAGGTTTTGACCAGGGAGGGGCATGGGAACTGCTGCCAAAGGGGGCCACGTTCTGACCAGGATGGGGCAGCTGAGAGAGCTGCTCCAGGCCTAACAGGGTTAGTGCCAGGCAGGTTGCTGGGCTGTGTTCTGCTGGGGGCATATGAGATCCGGCCTTGGGATCTATTAATATCCCCTCCCTATAGTGGGGTGGGGTCCTGTGCCCCTCTGTGCTTCACCCCCCCGTCCCTCTCTGGGACAGCACCCCCCTTCCATCCCGACTGCCCTCAGGACAGCATCCTCTGTGCCCTTTTCTCCATCTCTCCCCTCCCTGGACAACGCCCCTCCAGGGATGACTCCCCCAGTTTGGTGCTCCCCCTTCCTCCCTGGTACAACACCCTCCCCCCACTCCCTAAGCACAGAGCTAACCTGAATGTAGGTACGATGCCACCTTCCCTTCCAAGGGCTGGGGATGAATGCCCCCCGGTTCCATTGAGGGGCATTCCAGTGAGAAGGGCAGGCCCCATGGTAGGAGCACCTGGTGTTTGTTGTGTGATGTAGTAATCTGCCCATTACAAACTGAACAGGGGCTCTGTCTCTAACCCCTCCTCCCCAGAGGAAAAAAAATGAGGGGGGGGGGAATAGCTCGGTGGTTTGAGCATTGGCCTGCTAAACCCAGGGCTGTGAGTTCAATCCTCGAGGGGGCCATTTAGGGATCTGGGGCAAAAATTGGGGCTTGGTCCTGCTTTGAGCAGGGGGTTGGACTAGATGACCTCCTGAGGTCCCTTCCAACCCTCATATTCTATGATTCTATGAGGATCCCTCCAATGCTGGGCTAAGGGGGCAGCCACTGGATTGGGCCTTAGGACTCCTGGGTTCTGTCTCCAGCTCTGGGAGGGGAGTGGGGGCTAGTGGGTTAGAGCAGGGGGGAGGGGCTGGGAGCCAGGACTCCTGGGTTCTCTCCTGTTGTTGTTTTGGGAGTAAGTCCTTCCCCCATTCCACCTCTGTGCCTGTTTTCCCCACTGCAGGGTGAGGGGTGGGGAGAATCATCTGGCTCAGTGAGGAGCTGGGTGGCACTTCTGCCTCTGCTCAGAGTGGGGCTCCCCACTCCCTCTTGCCCCTCGGTTCCTGTCTGGTTCAGTTCTTTTGTAACTTGATTCTTTGTTGGTTTTTTAATGTCTATAAATATTTATTGGTCTGTTTGAGGCCCGGCTCCTGCTTCTCATTGTGTGCCAGTGCCCTCCAGGAAAGCACCCCCCAAAATGGCATGAGGACCCCCCAACACCAGGCTTGTGAGATGGGGCACAACCAGGATCCCTCACAGCACACCTCCCTCTGGTGCCGGCTGGGGAGACCATGTATTCAGGACCCACAGCACAGTCCCCCTCCCTGTTCCCCGCCCCCTCACAGCACAGCAGCCCCTAGCACCAGGCTGGATTTTGAGGTTCCACTCTGTTCCAGTTGCTAGTTATATATCACACACCCTGCCCTGTTACACAACCCCGACTGCATGCCTGATTCATGGGCCAGAAGGGGCTGGGCATGGGGTTATGTAACCTTCCATGGGCAGGGGGATAAAAGCAGCCCCATATCTGCTTGGTGCCCAAATGCATGGGAAGAGCTGAGTCACACCCCAAACTCTCCACCCAAGTGAGTCTGCAGGGTGATGGAGCAGCTGGGGGCAGAGAAGGGATGGGGAGAGGGAGTGATGGGGGGGTTCAGAGTCTGGGGGTGTCTTGGGATTTGAGGTGCACCTGAGAGCTGATCCTGCTGGGCTGGGGGATGCTGGGGGGACTGATGGGTATGGGGACCTACAGGCTGGGCAGGCTGTGCTCCAGGTTCTCTGGCCTTGGCAGCATGGGGTGGGGGTGTCTGGGGGGTGGCTTTTTCATCACCAGCCTGAGTCTCTCCCTGCAGCTTCTGCCACAACACCCCTCGTGATGCTACTGCGAATCGCCCTGCTCCTGCTCCTGCCCCTGGGGCTCTGGGGAGAGAGGTGAGTGGGGGGCTCTCCCCACACTGCAGAGGTTGGTGGAGGGAACATCCCCAAACCCTTCCCCCAGTGCCTCAGGGGATGGAGATTGATCCCTGCACAAACCCCCTGGGGCAACAGATCCAATTCAGGGAAAGGGGGGCAACAGCACCTCCAGGGTGATGGGGCCAATCCCGGGGGGCTGTACGCCTTAACTATCCCCATCTGGTTCTGCAGGGAGAAGCCTAAATTCTGCGGGGAAGTCACTGAATGTTTCACCTTTGACCTCATCTGCAACAGCTCAGACTATGAGGTGAGGGTCAGTTGTGGGGGAGGGAAAACCTGCTAAAATACCCCCTCCTGAGATGGCTAGTTCCCCCCACCCTGGGGCTGGATTGGAGCCTGTGTCCCCTAGCGGGGAAAGGAACCCCATCTCATTCCCCACCCTCTGGAGTCAGCCAGTCCCTCTGAAGCTGGGAGGGAGGGGGGTGGAGGGATGGGTCAGGAAGAATGGGAAGGAATTGACCCCACTCCCGTGCTCCTGTCTGTCCTCCCCCCCCCGCCCCCAGGCCCGGCTTTACCCCCCCTCGGCCTGGGTCAGCACCCGTGTGAACAACACGTACACAGCCGCCAAGACCACCGGCTTCTGGCACCTCTTCCGCTACATCCAGGGCCGGAACCAGCTGGGTAAGGTGACCCCCACAGCCCCTCTGCCCCCAGCCTTGGACTCCACCCCCACAGCTCCCCAACCCCCACATATAACCCCCCTCCTAGAGCCCTTAGAAGACCCACAGCCCTGCTTCACCCATATGCCCCTCTGCGCCCCCAACCATACCCCCCTCTCCCTCCCAGGTCCCCCAAACCCCATAGCCTTCTCCCATGGGGTCCCTACAGGCCCCCAAAACTCCATTGCTCCAGATAGCCCATAATCCATCCCTCAGAGACCCTGTAACAACCTGAGAAACTCCTTCCAAGGTCCCCAGGGGCTAACGGGAGGGACGTAGGGTGTTGGGCCACCCCTCCTGCTCTCTGGGGCTGCTTCACGTTTAATGAGCCTCAGTAGAACAGGGACAGAAGAAAAGGGGGTCTCTACCCTCCCCCAGGAGCTGGCTGCAGTTGAGGGGGGCTGGGGATTGGGGGTGGTTCTGGGGAGGGGAGGACTTCCGGATTCTGAGCAAACATGACACACACCCGGCAGGTGTGAAGATCCCGATGACCACACCGGTTCTGACCCGGGTGGACCAGGCTGCTGGAGAGATGCAGGAGTACACCATCTCCTTCCTGCTGCCGGCAGCGCGGCAGGGCGACCCCCCACAGCCCACCGAGCCTGCTGTGAGTGACTCCCCCCACTGAACCCACTGAGTGACCCCCAGCCCCCACATGGCTCCCCACTGAGCCTGCTGTGACCCCCCCCCCCACTGAACCCACTGAGTGACCCCAACCCCCACATGGCTCGCCACCGAGCCTGCTGTGAGTGACACCCCCACTGAGTGACCGCCACCCCCCACACGGCTCCCCACCGAGCCTGCTGTGACTCCCCCCACTGAACCCACTGAGTGACCCCCAGCCCCCACATGGCTCCCCACTGGGCCTGCTGTGAGTGACACCCCCCGCTGAGTGACCCCCAGCCCCCACATGGCTCTCCACTGGGCCTGCTGTGAGTGACACCCCCCACCAAACCCACTGAGTGACCCCCCCACTGCCTCCAATTCTCCCACCCAGCCCACTGTGAGTGACCCCCATCCCCACAACTGCTCCCTACCAAACTTGCTATAAGTGACCCCCACTGTCCCAACTATCTACTGAACCTGCCGTGAGTGACCCCCAACCCAGCCTGGCCGGGGACTGACCGTCAAACCCCGGTCTGGCTGGGGCTGTCGCACCCCCCCCTCCCCCCCACACACACACCCCCCAGCCTGGCTGAGGCTGACACCCTCTCTCTGTGTCTGGCCCAGGTTTTCATCGAGCGGTTCCCTGCTCTGCCCACCTACGTTCGCTCCTTTGGGGGGTGGCTCACGGACGCCAATCGAGGGACCCACATCCAGGCCCTTGATGCCTCCCTGGGGAGGGACGCCCGGCACTTCAACCGCTCCTGGCACTACTCAGCTGGCTACAACAGGTGGGGGGAGACCTGTTTGCTGCCTCCCTGGGGTGCTGGGGCGGAGCAGGGACCAGCATTCCCCAGGGCGCAGCAGCAGGGCCAACCGCAGGGGAGCAACCCCCTGAGTCAGGCACCAAACCTCCAGGCGCTTGGCCCCAAACCCGGGGCCTTTGTGAAGGGGTGGGAAGTTGGTGGGGTGACCAGATGTCCCGATTTTATAGGGACAGTCCCGATATTTGGGGCTTTGGCTTATATACGCTCCTTCCCCCCAATCCTGATTTTTCACACTTGCTGTCTGGTCACCCTAGGTGTTGGGGGGCTGCCCTGAGCTCCCCCCGCCATCCTGCTGGGACAGTATTATCCATGCCTCTAGATGTAGTGGGGGAGTGGATTCTGCCCCCCCATCTGCCTGTCCTCCCCCACCACGCAGCCCCTCTCTGCTACTCCTCAGGCTCTTCACCCCCTCTCCCAGGCCTGGGGGTGGGGGCTGCAGCAGGCCCCCCTCTCCCCTTCCAGGCTGGGGACAAGCAGCTCCAGGGGCTCTTTAACTCCCCCGCCACCTCACAGAGCAGCTGCTGCAGGAAGGGGGCAGCGGACTGACCCATTGCTCACAGGAGACGGGGAGAAAAGAGCAGACTGACCCATAGAATGACCCACTGCTCACAGTAGGTGGGGTGTGGCACTCCCCTGACCTGCTGCAGGTCTTTATCTCCCTCCTCCCCCTCCCATCCTATGAGTGAGGCTGGGGGTTGCAGAGAGGAGGGGGAGAGGGAAATCTGTCTGCAGTAGCTATGGTTGTTTGCTCTGCACCCCAAGGTGGGCAAGTGGGACAGACAGCCAATCAGAGGGCTAAACACTCACTAGTGGGACACGTTTAAGGATTGCACCAAGAGCTGAGATGGGGGGAGGTTCCCTGTTGCACCAGAAGCTGGGTGGGATCTCTAGGGAGCAGGTTTACAGGGTACAAGGTGCAGCTGGGAGGAGTGTCCATGTGGGGCCCAGTTTACCTGTTGTACCACAGGGTCAGGTTTAAGGGTTACACTGGGAGCTGCGGGGTGCTAGGGGGCTGGGTTTGTCTGTTACCCCAGGAGCTGGGAGTGGTGTCATTGGGGGCAACAAGTTGACCTGTTATGGCAAGAGCTGGGGGAAAAGGGGTCCTGGGGGGTGGGGGTAGGTTACTAGAGATGTGGGGGGCACTAGGAGACAGGTTTATCTTTCACACCAGACTAGGTGGGTGGGATGGTTTCTGTGGGGAGGGGACAGGTTTACCTGTCCAGGCAGGAGCTGGGGGAAAGGGGTGACTAGGGGACAGGTTTCTCTGTTTCACTGGGAGCTGGGGGGCAGTGAATGCTCATTGCGGGGCAAGTGTATCTGTTACCTCAGGATCTGGAGGAAAGGGGGCAGGGGGGGAAACATGTTTATCTTCTACACCAGTAGCTTGGGGAAGCAGTGACTGGGGACCACTTTACCTATGGGGGGGTGTTGCTGGGGGACACATTGACTTGTCACACCAGCAGCTGGGAGGGGTCAGGGTCCCTGGGCAGGTTTACCTGTCACAGCAGCAGCTGGCCAGGGGGAGAGGGGGGAAGGAGCTAGTTGGGGGCCGAGTTTGCCTGTTACATTGGGAGTTGTGGGGAGGGTAGGAGGGCAGATTTTCCTGTTACACTGGGATCTGGGGGAAGGGAATGGGGGGGGAGGACAAGTTCTCAGGGGATGTTATTAGAGAGGTCGCAGGTTTCCCTGTTACCCCAGGAACCGGGGGAGGGATTAGTGGGGGGCAGGTTTCCTTGTTACCCCAGGAGCCGGGGGGATTAATGGGGGGTCAGTTAGTGGGGGGTTCTGGGGTAGGTTAGTGGGGGGCAGGTTTTCCTGTTACCCCAGAAGCTGGGTGGGGGAATAGGGGGGCAGGTTTCCCCATTACAGCAGGTTCTTGGGGGAGGATTGGGGGGCAGGTTTTCCTGTTACCCCCAGAGCCAGGGGAATTAATGGGGGCCCGGTTTCCCTATTACAGCAGGTTCTGGGGTGTGTTAGTGGTGGGCCAGGTTTTCCTGTTACCCCAGAAGCTGGGTAGTGGGGATTGAAAGGCCAGGTTTCCCCCTTGCAGCTGGTTCTAGGAGGGATTCGGGGGCAGATTTCCCTTTACAGCAGGTTCTGGGAGTCCCCCAAGCCCTGACCCGCTCTATTGTTCCCGTCTCTCTGCAGTCCCATGAAGCTGTTCGACCGCCACAACGAGGTCTGGCGCCTGGCATGGGGCGGCCTGGGCTGCGCCCCAGAGTGAGCCCCCCCCAAATGTCACCCACTGGCATCGCAGCCCCGCCAGGAGTGAGAAACCCAGCTCTCGATTCCGCCCCCCACGAGTGAGCTCCCAGTGACCAGCCCCCCTCCTCCCCACCCCCCATAATAAAGCCAAGTGACCAAGGCTGCCCTGTGTATGAGGCATGAATTCTGGTTGCTGCCTTAAAGCTGGACAGGCCAGGGGTGGGGGGGTCCCCTGGCAGCTGCCCTAGTGGGTCACCAGAAGGGGGTGCGCGCTAGGGTCTGTGGTAGCCCCAAACCCCAAAGAATTTGACCTAGGGAAGCAGAGAACAGGATCTGGACTGGGAGGAGGGAAGAAATGGGCATTGGGGGAGGGGCAGGGGGCATACCTAGGGGCTGGCCAGGGAGAGCGGTGGGGGGAGGCTCTGGTTGAGGTGGCAGATGTGGGGGGAAAGGAGGACCTGGGGGAGATCAGGATGGGGTGGGACTGCAGGGGAGGAGCGGGCCAGAGGGAGATGGATGGGATCTGGGGGGCATATGGGGCAGAGGGAGATGGGGGGCAGTGGCCAGACAGGGCAGAGGGAGGGGAGCCTGGCAACGGAGCGGAGGGAGATGGAGAGGAGCTGGGGGGGCAGAGGGAGATGGGGGCAGGGCAGAGGGAGCTGGGAGCAGTGCGGGGAGAGGCAGGAGGAGATGGGGGGGCAGGGCAGAGCGTGCTGGGGAGGTAGGAGGAGCTGAGGGGTGGGCCAGAGGGAAGTGCGGGGGGAGGAAGCGCTGGGGGGACAGGGCAGAGGGAGCTGGGGGGTAGTGGAGGGAGGGGCCGGAGGCAGAGGGAGATGGGGGGCAGTGGCCGGACAGGGCAGAGGGAGGGGAGCCTGGCGGCGGGAGATGGAGAGGAGCTGGGGGGGCAGAGGGAGATGGGGGCAGGGCAGAGGGAGCTGGGAGCAGTGGGGGGAGAGGCAGGAGGAGATGGGGGGCAGGGCAGAGCGTGCTGGGGAGGTAGGAGGAGCTGAGGGGTGGGCCAGAGGGAAGTGCGGGGGGAGGAAGCGCTGGGGGGACAGGGCAGAGGGAGCTGGGGGGTAATGGAGGGAGGGGCCGGAGGCAGAGGGAGATGGGGGACAGTGGCCAGACAGGGTAGAGGGAGGGGAACCTGGGGGCAGGGCAGAGGGAGCTGGAGAGGAGCTGGGAGCAGTGGGCGGAGGGGGCAGGAGGAGACGGGGTGCAGTGGAGGGAGGGGGCGGGGGCAGAGGGAAGTGGGGGGCAGGAGCTGGGGGTGGGGCAGAGGGAGCTGGGGGGCAGTGGAGGGAGGGGGCGGGGCAGAGGGGGCCGGGCTGTGTCTATCTGTCCCGCCCGCTCCCCGAAAGTGAAAGTGGAAGCGGGGGGTGGGGGGTTTTCGGGTATTTCCATCCTGCCTCGCAGCCAACATGACTTCGTTCGTCCCCGTGGGGGCCCTGGCCCTGCTCCTGCCTGGTGAGTCGGGGGGGGCTCCCCCCACCTGTCCTCGGAACCTCCCCCCCCCAGCTCTCTGTCCGTCTGTCCACAGGACACACCTGCCCGCCCCGCAGGGCAACCTAACGCTCCCCCGAAACACAGCCACAGCTCCCCCCACTCTAGGACCCTCAGCCCCCCCCCGGGACACGGCTCCCCCCTGCCCAGGGACCCTGACCCCCCCCCCCGCACTGACATGGCTCCACCCCCCATTCTGGGACCCTGCCCCCCCCAAACACACAGCCCGCCCTGCGCCAGGGCAGCCCGACACCCTCGACCTTAGACACAGCTCCCACCTGCCCAGGGACCCTGACCCCCCCCAGAGACATGCTCCCCCCCACCCAGGGACCCTGAGACTGCCCCTCCACCAGACACAGCTCCACTCCCGCTCTGGGACCCTGCCCGCCCAACACGCAGGGCCGGGCCCCGCCGCGTCCAGGGCAACCTGAGCCTGTCCTGCGAGGGGCTCTCCCTCCTCCCCCCACTCTGGGGGGGGGGCTGGCCCCCTGAGACACGGCTCCCGCCCAGGGACCCTCAGTGTGAGGTGGGCTCCAGCCAGTGGGGGCAGGGCGGGGCCAGGCTGTGTCTGTCTTTCCCAGGACCCTGACACCCCCCCCAGACATGGCTCCCCCCTGCCAGGGCAACCTGAGCACCCCTGCGGACACAGTTCTTTCCCAGTCCTGGCCTTCAACCCCCCTACCCCACATGTCACGTGGCCCTGAGAGGGCCCCTGAACTGCGGGGGGCTTTGCTCCCACAGGGTGTTTGGGAGGAGGGGGCCATTTGTCTGGGTGTGGGGTGATGGGGCTGCTCCGGGGCTGGGTGGGATATGGAGGCACCTGCTGGTTATTGGGGGGGGCAAGGGAGAAATCAGACCCTGGGGGGATAAGGGGTCACCCTGGGGAGGGGCATCTCTTGAGGGTCCTGCCCTGGGGGAGGGTGCAATCTGGGGGCAATCCGGTGTCCCAGGGAGCTTTGGGGGGTCCTTGTGTCCACACTAACCCCCGGCCCCTGCCGCTAGGGTTCGCTCTGTGTCTGGCTCTGGCGGGGCCCCCCCGGCTGAGCTGCTGGTTCGTGGAGGAGGCTGGGGGGCGCATGGGGATGATGCCGAGTTCCGTGACTCAGCGCCGGGCGCTGCTACTGCTGCGGGGGGCGAGAGGGGGGCTCCCCGAGACAGAGCCCGAGCTGCCTCCCGACCTGGAGCCAGGCATGGTTTTTGACATCACTGGTATGTCCCCTTCCTCCCCCCCACCGGGCTCCCACACCCTGATCTTCCAGTGCCTGCTCCCACTACCACCCTGCTGCCCGGTCCTGACCCACAGGACTACCTCCACATCCCATCTGCCCCCCAGTGTTACCTCACCTGTCCACCACACCCTGCTCCTCCCCTCTGCTCCCCCATACCCGCTTCTTACAGCCCCCTCTTTTCCCCATCCTCCCCAGTGCTCCCCCACTCCTTTGCCCTGCCCCCCAGTGCCCTGCCACTCCCATGTCTGGCATTCCCCCCATTTGCCTTCCTGTTCCTCACAACTGCCCCCCCACTGCTTCTCTCCCCCCAGATTCCGGGGGACCCTGCATTGTATCCCCCTCCTAGCAGCGGTGGGCATTGGGGTGTCCATGTCTCTCCCCTCGATTCCTTTCTCCCCTCCAGACCCTGCAGGGGCTCTGCACCGCGTCCCCCTCCCAGTGGGGGGGCGCTCCAAGGAGGGGGAGCTGCCTTCCTGTGAGATCAACGCCTACACACCACAGGAGGCCCACGTGCCCTGGGCAGCCGGCCTGACCCCCGAGCACCGCAGCCCCCTGGGCCTGGGGGGTCCCTGGTTCATCAGCAGCGTCCAGGCCCCGGCCAGGGGCTACGGGGTCAGCGCTGTCCTCAAGAGTGAGGAGGCGGCAACGTCCCAGCAACCAGCAGTCATCATGGCAACTGGTAACCAGGGCAACTGGGAATGTAGGGTGGGAGCGGCCTCCCCCCAAAATCCTGCTGTGGGGACCCTCTCTTTCCTCAGGGCCCCAAGCTCCTTCCCTTGCCCCCACATCCTGCTGTGCTGCTCACAGCACTACCCACCCCCCCAGGGCACTGTCCGTGTGGCGCTCACAGCCCTGCCCTCCTCCAAGGCACTGTTCTTCATGGTGCTCACAGCCCTGCCTTGTGCTTCTGTGGTGCTCAAAGCACTACCTCTGAGGCATCATGCTCACAGTCCTAACTGTTCCCCATGGCACTGCTCCCATGGTGCTCACAGCCCTCCCCCTCCCCCTGGGGCACTGCCCATGTGGTGCTCACAACCCTGTCCTGCTGTGGCATTGCTTCCATGGTGCTCACAGCCCTCCCCCTCGGGCACCGCCCATGTGGTGCTCACAACCCTGCCCCCCTGTGGCACTGCTCCCATGGTGCTCACAGCCCTCCCCCTGGGGCACCGCCCATGTGGTGCTCACAACCCTGCCCCCTGTGGCACTGCTCCCATGGTGCTCACAGCAGTAACACCCTCATCTCTGCCCCACAGCGGTGTTGTCCGTGTTCTCCCGCACCCCGCACCTGCACTCCCGCCTGGGCCGGGACGTGCTGCTGGACTGTGGCTTCACGGCACCACCTGGCCCCTTCTCGGTGGAGTGGCGGTACCAATACCGGGGTGCTGGGCGCGTGGTGCTGGCCTACGATGGGGTGTCAGGCCGGGCCCACGTGGCCGAGGAGGGGGCGCAGCTGTTCCTGGAGGAGGGGAGGGCGGGCGCAGACACCAACGTGTCGCTGCGACTGTCCCAAGTCGGGGTGCGGCACGAAGGAACCTACATCTGCACCATCTACCTGCCCCACCTCCATGCTCAGCAGGCCCTGGAGCTGCGCATCACCGGTGAGTCTGGGGGGGCCTCCCGAGCTGCTCCCAGCGTGGGGAGACGTGGGTATGAGACGATCTTTGCACCACACGGGTATCTTCCCCCCACCCCAGGCTAGTGATGCATGACTGATTCTGGGGAGGGGCCCCTGGACTGATGCTCCCACAGGCTAGGCTGTGAACCCCAATATTTACCCCCTGAGTTGGAGGAGTCCCAGAGTTCTCCACATTGAGCCAAAGCACCCCCTAGGCTGTACAGGGCTGTATGGGACTGGTCTCTAATCCCTCCTTCCTCCCAGAGCCCCAGGTGGTGGCACTGTACCCCGTGCCCCCCAGGAGATGAGGGAGGCCAGACTCGGTCGAAACTCATCTCTTCCTCTGAACCCACTTCCCCCCACCCCCCAGGTGACACTGCACCCCAGCCCTCTGTCTGTGCCTCCCAGGGGAGGAGGGACGCCGGGCTGGGCTGTACAGGCCCATATGGGACCAGTCTCTAACCCCCTCTCCCCTCAGAGCCCCCCATGGTGATGCTGCACCCTGACCCCCTATCGGTGGCCCCTGGGGCACCAGCTGAGCTGGCCTGTGAGGTCTCTGGCTATTACCCATTGGATGTGACGGTGAGCTGGCTGCGCCGGGGCCCCGGGGAGGCGGGGGGCGACCTGCTGGAGTACGTGACTGAGACCTGGGAGTCAGGGCACCGGCATGGCCCCGACGGCACCTACAGCCTGAGCAGCTTCGCCCGCCTGGCACCCGTCCAGCCCCGCGACCACGGAGCCACCTACAGCTGCCACGTGACCCACGCCGCCCTGGCCACCCCTGCCCGGAGGAGCGTCCGGCTCCGGGTGGCAGGTGGGGACAGGGCAGGGGGCAATGGGAGAGAAGTGCAGGGATGGGGGGCTCAGGGGAGCGGGGATGGAGTGGGGGGGCGGAGGGGAGACAGGGGAGGGGGTAATGCAGGAGGGTTGGGCAGGAGGGGGAGGGGTGCAATGGGGGAGGATCCGGGGAGGGGGGAAATGGGGAGTGTCTCTTGGTCTCATCCCCCCTCTGCCCCAGGTGCCACAGGCCCCTCCCTGGAGGATGCCATTGGGATGTTCCTGGCTGCGTTCCTGCTCTATGGGCTCTTCCACCTCCTCGGAAACAAGGGTGTGTGCCCCCCCCATGTCACCCCCTCCCCCATACACCGCCATCCCCACTGCCTCTACTGGGACAAGGATGTGTGCCTCCCCGTGTCACTTCCCCTCCCCCCACTGCCCCTCATGTCACTGCCTCCCCCCATACATCCCGATCCCCACTGCCCCCCATTCCTCCCATACACCCCAACCCTCCTGCCTCCTCCAGGACAAGGGTAGGTGCTGCCCTGCCCCCATTCAGCCCATTGCCTCCCATACAGCCCCCAACCCTCCCACTGTCCCCATATGCCCCCCAGTCCCCATCCCCCCATACCACCCTCCATTGCACCCCCAACCATCCAGCCTCCTCTGCAACACCCCCCCATACTGCCACCCTATACACCCCTGAGCCCACAGGTACCCTCCAACCGGCCCACTGCCTCCCAGACCACCCCCGTTCCCCTCCCCCGCATCTTCTGGGGAACGATATGTACCCCCAGACCTCTGCTGCCCCTGCTCCCCTCAAACCCTCTCTGCCTCCTTGCGCCCCCCCGATCTCACCCTGTATCCTCATGGACAAGGCTATATCCCACCCCTACCCCCAGCCAGCCACTCTCCCCCACCTCCCCCCACTCCTGTTCAGGGGAGCCAGGGTCTCACTCCTCTCTTGTTCCTTTTTCAGTCTGTCCATCCGGAGCTGAAGAGAAAAGCAAGGTAAATACCCCCCGCCCCACCAGTGCGCCTGCCCTGCTCCCCACAGCGCCCCTGCTGGGGGAGGCTGGGGCTGGAGTACCTGGTGTGATTCTTACCTGACTCTCTTCTCCCCACAGAAATCAGAGTGAGACGTGCCCAAAGAAGCTGAGATTTTGGGCGCTGATGTGTGACCCCCAAAATAAGATTGTGAACCTCAGGACAGGAACCAGAGTTGGGGGCTTAATGGACAATAAAGGGTTAACATCCTCTCCAGTCCCCCTTCCCTGCACCTGCCGTGTTACGAGCCAGGATCATGCCTCGATCCTCCCCCACTGCTTCCCCATCCCCTCTTGGCCTGCTCTCCCCACAGCACCCACCTCCCCTGCTGCTGGGGTCCCTCCGCCTGCTCCCCCTACCGCCTGCCTCACCCTGGGGGGCTGGGCAAGTGGCCTGTTCCATTTAAGGTTGGGGGGCTGTTGGTCTGCACTGCTGTACGGGGGCTTCAGCCCCAGAAATAAAAATGTTTTGCTGTGACCCCCGTAACTCCAGCATGGGCGTAGTCATCTCTCAACACTCCTCCCCAGAGCCCCGACCCCCCCAAGAAGAGGCCTGCTCTCCCCACCCAGCCCCACATGCCCTGCCCAAACTGCCCCCCCCCCAGTGCTGCCATCTCCTTCTGCCTCAGCAGGAGACCTCCCCATCCCCTCACCCCGCCTCCAGCTCCCCCATCCCGGAGACCCTCATAGCCAGGGCCAGTTGGGTTCAGAGAGTCTCCTCTCCCTAAGACCCAGGGCACGCAGTCCCAAGGGTTCGTGTCCAGTAGCAGAGAGTTCCATAGGCTCAGGGAGACGAAGCTTTTCCCTCCATCCTTGCTACCCTTCGTTGCTCCTACTCCCCCTACGTTATGGGGTCCTGTATGTCCTGCTCTTTACTTCCCAGCTCTCCTCACTCTCTGAGCATTGCTCACGCTGGGTTCATACCCAGTGGGCTGGCACTGGAAGGGTGCAGTGGGGGTATGTGGGAGGTGTGACTTCCTGGCCGGAGGGAGACAGGAAGGCTGTCCCCATTGTTCAGCTTCCTCCCCCTGGGGAGGGGGGAGAATGTAGGGACCAGAGGTTCCAGACCCCAGTGGAGGGGGGAATATATGGACTGGAGAGATGGGAAACCCGGAACTGGATGCAGGGGAGGAATGTAGAGACTGGAGACCTGGGAAACATGGATCCAGATCCCATGGGGAGAGGGAGAATATACAAACACGGGGTGGGGTGGAGTGTATATATACAGACTGGAGCGCTGGGAAACATGGAGCTGGATTCTGGCGGGAGGGGAGGGGGAAGACTATACAAACCAGAGAGCTGGGAAACATGGGTCTGGATCCCATGGGGAAGGGAAGAATATATACAGACTGGAGCCACTGGGAAACATGGAGCCGGAATGGGACGAAATACGAAGCTGGATCATGAGGGGACTATAAGGACTGGAGAACTGGCAACGCGGAGCTGGATCCCAGGGGAGTGGAAAACACACTAAATGGAGATTCGGGAAACATGCATCCAGGGGACAGAGCCCATAGCGTGTCCGCTCCAGGTTCTAGGTCTCTCTGGCCTTGGCTCTGTTCCCAGGCAGATCTGGTCTGCGCTTTAACTCTCCCCAGTCCTCTGGCTCCTCTCTGGGCTTTGCAGGTCTCTGCTCCCTGACTCCGCTCTGAGTTTCATGTCCCTTCCTTTCCAGGTGTACTCCACTCCAGGATTTAAATCTCCCCAGTAGGCTTTGCTCCGGGCTGTGCAGTTCTGGCTCCGATCCTCCCCCTTGAGTCCTGCCGGCTCTGCTCCCGGCTTTAGGCTTTACGGTTCCCTGGAGCCCGTCCAGGCTGATACAGCTCCGGGCTTTGTGCCTCTCCACTCGCTCCAGCTCCGGGCTTTCTGTCTCTCTGGCCCCGGGCTCTGTTCCTAGGCTCGGTCCCTCTCCGTTCCGTCTGTCCGGCTCCAGCTCCGGATTTCTCTCTCTCCGGCCCCTGACTCCACCCCGTCCTGCCCCTCCTACCCAGCTCCGGCCTCCGTTCCCAAGCCGGCTCCGGGGCTTCCGCCCAGCCCCGCCCAGCCTGGCCCCGGGGCGCAGCGGGGAGCCGGGTGCCCGAGGGGAGAAGGGACCTTCCCACCCGCAGCCTGGCACCCAGGTGGGCGTGCACTGGGAGAGCGGGGGGGGGGGTGCAATGGAGGGTATGGGAAGAGGTGCCAGGGGGTGCTAGGGAGGGGTGACGTGGGGAATATGGGGGTGTAGGGTGGGGAGCAGGGGAGGGGTGCTGTGGGGGTGTTGGGCGGGGGGGGTGCAGTGTGGAATACGGGGGTGTAAGGAGGGGTGCAGTGGGTCTGTTGGGGGGTGAAGTGGGAGGAAGTGGGGAGCGGGAGGGAAGGGGACAAAGTTCCCCCAAATATTTCCTGCTTCTGGAGAAGTTCTAACTTCCCTCCCCTGTCCTTCCGTTCCCGCCCCCCTCTTTCTCAGTCCTGGACCTCGCCTGACACCCCCCTCCCCCGGCAGTAGGGGGCAGCCCATGACTCCTCCGTGGGGCTGAGACGTCCCCTTCCCCCACTGCCCCCCATGCTGCCCCGCTCGCTGCGCCATCTGCTGGAGGGGGCCCGGCTGGAGCTGGGGGAGGAGCAGGGGGTCACTCTGAGCGGGTACCGGAGCTGGCCCCCTGAGCCCCAGGTGAGGAGGGATGGGGAGGGATGTGGGGCGGGAGCAGGGGGCAGGCTGGGGGGCACCGGAGGGTCACAGGAAGGTGTGCGCTGAGGGGGGCAGGGGTGGCTGCCCCGTGGGGTTGTGTTGTGGGGGTAGCTCGGGCGTGATGAGGGGTCAGAGGGGATGTGGGGTCACGCCCTCGTGTGTGGGTGAGGGGGAGGTTCTGTGTGGTGTTGGGTCACACAGGCGTGAAGGGCGGGTGTTGCCGGCTCACACCACTGTGGGCGCATGTGGTACACGGGGCGGGGGGGCTGTGGAGCCGTGTGTTGTCCGGTGTGTGTGGCGGGATCACACCTGTGTGGGTTTGTGGAGCCGTGTGTTCTCGGGGTGTGTGTGGCGGGATCACACCTGTGTGGGTTTGTGGAGCCGTGTGTTGTCGGGGGTGTGTGGCGGGGTCACGCCCGTGTGGGTTTGTGGAGCCGTGTGTTGTCGGGGGTGTGTGGCGGGGTCACGCCCGTGTGGGTTTGTGGAGCCGTGTGTTGTCGGGGGTGTGTGGCGGGGTCACGCCCGTGTGGGTTTGTGGAGCCGTGTGTTGTCGGGGGTGTGTGGCGGGGTCACGCCGTTGCGAGAGGAGCGCTGTCGCTGGGGGCAAGGCGTTGGTAGTCGAGGTGTGTGCGGTTGTGTTGGCTTTGCTGGTAGTTCTGCAGCTTGCTCAGGGTGCGGTTGTGTGGGGTGGCCGGGGGGTGGCTGTGTTGTGAGCTAGTTGTGAGGGGTGAGTGACTGGGGTGCGGGGAGTGTGGTCTAGGGCAGTGAGCAGCTGCAGGGCTGGGGCTGGAGTGAGGGGCAGTGTGGGGCTTGGGTGTCAGTGAGCCCTGGGAGGTCCCTTCACTTCCTGTCCCGAATTCCCCTTGGCCCTCAGCAGCCATGCCCCACCCAGAGGTGGCTGCCGCTCCTTGGGGTCATAAGGCTCAGGTGCGTGTCCCCTCTTGAGGACACACCCAGTCCCTGCGGTGGGAGGCAGGGCGGGTAGCCTGGCAGCTGCAGGGTTTGGCGGGGCAGGTTTGGGGAAGTGCTTGGGGGGGCAGGGCGGGACGGGGAGGGGCTGGAGCAGACCGAGAAGGCGGAAGCAGCAGGGGGAGGGAGACAGAGAGAGAAAAACAGGGGCAGACAGACAAGGGGAACAGGACAGACAGACGGGGGAGGGGAGGGGGACAGACTGATAGGAGTGTAGGAGGGGTTTCTTGTGGGGGGGTGACTGGGGAGGCGGGAAGGGTGTTTGTCTGTCTGTGCCCTGGCCTGCGTGTTTGGGAGGTTCACTGGGTCCCCCTCTGCCCCCTCCCCCTGCACCCCCTCCCTGCTGTCTGTGCCCCTGAACCCCCACTGTGCCCGCTAACTCTCCCACCCTGCCCCCCAGCCCTACGCACCTTGAACCCCTGCCTGGGCCCACAGGCCCAGGCCTGTCCCATAGGGCTGCGGGGTTTGGGGGGGGCTCAGCTAGGCAATTCCCTCCCCCACACGCCCCCACCCCAGTGAGAGTCGCACCCCGGGGTGGGGCTGAGTGAGACCCAGTGAAGCGCACCTTGGGGTGGGGGTGGTGACAACCATCTGTCTGTCCCCACCCACGTATCCAGATGCCCCCCAGAGTGCTCCCTCTGCCTGAGGGGAGGGGGCAGTTCCTGGGGGGGCTGGCGAGGGCTACGCCCCCGTAGGCAGCAGGAGGGGGGTCTCTGTTCAGGGGGGGGGCTGATGAAGGTTTTCCTGCGGCTGGGGGCGTGCCTGGAGCCAGGAGGTCAGGAGGGAGGGGGGCTGTCCCGGACACGGTGGTACTGCCTGCCTGTCAAGGTGAGTGTGTGTGTGTGGCGGGTGGGGGGCAGCTCAGATACAGCTGGGCAGGGGATATCCAGGGGGGCGGCTGGACTAGGGGGAGGGGGGGATGAGACTCCTGCAGTTGGAGGGGGGTGGAGAGGTGGGGGGCAGTGATATCCGGGGTAACCTTCCCCTCTCCCCAGCCCCCGGTGACCCTGACGGAGGAGGCCGAGGAGGGAGCGATCTACACAGTGACCACGCGGCAGTCTGGGGGCGCCCAGCCAGGGGTGAGTGGGGGGGCAGGTCGGCTCTGGTGCCCCCTCTTTCCCCTAGGCCTCAGTAGTATTGGGGGGGCGGGGTGTCCAGGCTGGCTCTGACACTCTCCCCACAGGCCCGGGGGGGGGGGTGGCAGGCAGCCAGGCCACGTCACTTGGGGAGATATGGGGGGGTCCAGGCTGATTGACGGTCTCCCCACAGGGGACAGGCAGCCAGGCCGGGTCACTGAGGGGTATGTGTGGGGGGGTGTCCAGGCTGATTGATGGTCTCCCCACAGGCCCCGGGGGGGGCAGGCAGCCAGGCCCGCTCGCTGAAGGCCGGGTCGCTGGTCCGGCTGGTTCGGCACCTGCTGGAGGCCCAGACGCTGGGTGACGCCACCTACGTCCCTACCTTCCTGATCACCTACCGGGTGTTCGCCCGCCCCCCCACGGTGCTGGGGCTGCTGCTCGACAGGTGACAGGGGCAGGGGGTGGAGGGGGCGCAGGATGCTGGAGGTAAGTGGGGGGGGGTGCAGGACATGGGGTAAGTACAGGGGAGATGGGGGTGCAGGACGCTGGGGGGAAGTGGGGTGTGACTAGAATTGGGATTATGGGGGAAACGTCGGGGAAGAGGGGATGGGGGGACACAAGGGGGGAGCCGGGCCCCATGGGGGAATGAGCTGGGGGTGGGGGAGCCGAGCTCCATGAGGGGATGAGAGGGGAGGGCTGGGACTTGGTGGGGAGCGGTTAGGGGGCACAAACGAGGGGAAAGGAGTTGTTGGGGTGTGGGGAGGGGAGCGCAGTGGCAATGGCAACCGCCTCACCCCATCTCTCCCTCAGGCTGGAGGAGGTCGGGGCGCTGGAGCCGAGCCCCGTTTCCCCAGAGACAGCTGAGCTGCAGCGGTGAGTGACCCCCGCCCCCACAGCCCCCACCCACCCCGACTTCCCTTCCCCCGGCCGTGTCCCCCATTCACCCCCATCTCCCCCCAGGGCCTTCTCCTCGGTGATGTGCTCCTGGCTGGACGGGTACCCTGAGGATTTCGGGGGGGGCTTGGACCCTGGCCTGGTGGAGCGACTGGGCCGGAGCCTGCAATGTGCCCTGGGGCAGGGCTCTGAGGCTGAGAGACGCCTGCTTGCCCTACGGGGGGTGCCGGGGGGGCACAGCAATGGAGGTGAGGGGGGCTGCAGGTGCGGGAAGCCTGCAGGGGGGCAGATGGATGCGGGAAGGGTTTGGTTGGAGAGGAGTGGGGGAGCCGGGGGGGCAGGCAGATGGGGGTGGGGGCAGATCTGGTGGGTGGGCAGATGGGAGAGGGTACTGGGGTAGAGGGGAGGGTCTATCTGTGGGGCAGGCTCCCCCCCCCCCCCCCCCCGCTGGATCTAACACTGCCTCCTCTTCCCTGCAGGGGAGCTGGAGGAAGAGGAATTGGGGGTGGGGGAAGATGGCCCCGAGGGGGGTGTGACACCTAGGGGAGACCCTGACCCCCTCGACATTCTGACCTTCCAAGCTGACCATGTGGCTGCTCAGCTGACACTGGAGGAGGCGGTGAGTGTGTGTGGTGGGGGGGGCTGTACCCCAGGGGCCCTCATGTCAGGGTATTTGGGGGGGTAGGTGACCGGGGGAGGGGGACTCAGTCTTTAGGTTACGGGGTGTGGGGGTGCAGGACATCCCAGGAGATGTTCCTGTGGGTAAGTGAGGGGTAAGGGATACCCCTAGCAGTGGGTGGGGGTCAGGGAGCAGCCCCCCATTAACCCCTGCCCCCCACCCCCAGGCGCTGTTCCTGCGGGTCGTGCCCTACCAGTGCCTGGGCTCGCTCTGGTCTCAGCGGGACAAGAAGGGGCGGGAGCGGGTCTGCCCCAGTGTCCGCGCCACGGTGCACCAGTTCAACCGCCTGGCGGGGGCCGTGATCCACTCCTGCCTGGGGGGGCCGGGGCTGCGCCCCCAGCAGCGGGCCCGCATCCTGGAGAAATGGATCCACGTGGCTGAGGTGAGTGTGGGGCCGGAGCTCAGCCCCTCAGGATCAGGGTCACCACGCTGCGTCCGACCCCGCAGCGATGGGCCCCCGGCTTGTGGGAAAGGAGAGCAACCTCTGACCTCAGCTCTGCCCCCAATACCAGCCAGGCCCTCTGACCCCTCACCCCCCGAGCCAGCCCAGCCCCTGCCCTGCAGCTCCATGGGAGCTGGCCCCCCGCCCCGACCCCTCACCCTCCGAGCCAGCCAAGCCCCTGCCCTGCAGCTCCATGGGAGCTGGCCCCCCGCCCCGACCCCTCACCCTCCGAGCCAGCCAAGCCCCTGCCCTGCAGCTCCCTGGGAGCAGGCCCCCCACACCGAGCCAGCCCAGCCCCCGCCCTGCAGCTCCCTGGGAGCAGCCTGCCCCCAAGCCAGCCTAGCCCCCGCCCTGCAGGGGTGTCGGAGCTGGCCCCCTGTGACCCCGACCGCTGTGCCCCCAGGAGTGCCGTGCCCTGAGGAATTTCTCGTCTCTCTGCGCCATCATCTCCGCCCTGCAGTCCAGCCCTGTGCACCGGCTCAAGCGGACCTGGGACGAGACCGCCAGGTGGGGCTGGGCTGGCGGGGTGGAGCTGGGTGGTCAGGATGGAGGGGGCAGCATCTGGGGGGCACCATCTCATGGGTCACTCACACCCCCCCACACACTTCTCCCGCCAGGGATGTGCTGCGCAGCTATGAGGAGCTCTGCACCATCTGCTCCGAACAGGATAACTATAGCCTGAGCCGGCAGCTGCTGTTCCAGGTGAGGGGCCGCCTGGCTCCTGTGCCCCCCACATCCTGCCCCCAATCCTGTGCTCCCAGCTCCTGTGCTGCCTCCCAGCTCCTAGCCCCTCATCCTGCCCCCCCGGCGCTCAGCTCCCCATACTGCTCCGTACCCACCTCCTCCCCATGGCCCCCTATTGTCCCCCTCTCCCATCTTGCCCCCGATCCCTTCTTCTGCCCCCTCCCTACCCAGCTGCCCCATCCTGACCCCCAACCCCTATGTCTCACTAGGTCTCCTGTATCTGCCCTCATCCCTGACACCTTCCCATGTCTCATTGTTCCTCCCTGCGCTCGCACCCTGTGCCCTCTCTCATATTCCTCTGACCCCCCCCCCAGGAGGGCACCTCCAAGCCGTCTGGTGCCGACCCTGCCCCCCGCCGGCAGCCACGGAGACCCCAGGAGCAGCGCCCAGTGGTGAGTGGTGGAAGGGGGGGCTGCAGTGATGGGCGAGGATGCAGGGGCACGGGATGGGGGGGCTGCCCCGTCCCTGTTCTTCTCCTCCAGTGCACGGGGGGGCAGAGGTAGGGGGGGATACTGGAGGCATGGTGGGCTTGGGCAGCCCTGGTTGGGGTATATGGGGCGCTGGGCAGAGGCACAATAGGGTGGGGGATATGTGGGGGGGCCAGTGGTTTGGGTTGGAGGTGTGGTTTGTGTGAAGGTACTTGGGGGGCTGGACAGGGTACACTGGGGTGGGTGGGGGCTAGGCAGGAGGCTGTGGGGGTGGAGAATATGTGCAGGGCACTGGGGCCTGGACAGGGTACACTGGGGTGGGTGGGGGCTAGGCAGGAGGCTGTGGGGGTGGAGAATATGTGCAGGGCACTGGGGCCTGGACTGTAGGTGTGGTTTGTGTGGGACTATGTGGGGGACTGGGCAGGGTGCTGTGGGGTGGGGGGATTGGCAGTCATAGCATATGTGCAGGCAGCTGGAGCAGCCTCACCTGCCCCAGAGGTCTCAGCCAAAATCACACACCCTATTCCCACCACCGAGGTATTGGTGCAGCACACAGGGAAACTGAGGCACACGCAGTATTCATGCAAAACAGTAAAACTCACATAGGCTCAACAGTAAGACTAACATACAACATAACAAGGGAAAATCCCCACTTCGTCACAGCGGGGTGCTGCGGGGCGGGGGGGTTGGCAGTGTGGTTTGTGCAGGGCATTGTGGGGGGCTGGAGGGTGCACGGTGGGGTGGGACACAGTGGGGGATATGTGGGGGCCTGGGGGGTTGACTGCCTGCTCTCTGACCCCCTGCTCTCCCCAGGGTGTGGTTCCGTACCTGGGCACCTTCCTGCGAGACCTGGTGATGCTGGATACAGCCATGAAGGACAAGCTGGAGGTGAGACCTGGGGGTGGGGGGATGATCTAGGATCCTGTTAGGGGTGGGGGCCAGGCCAGTGGGAGGGGCACGTGTGCAATGGGGGGGCCAGGCAAGGGGGCAGGAGAGCAGTGGGGAGCTGGGGGGGTGATGGGGGGCAAGGAACATGCGGGAGTCGGTCATGGGGCTCATGGCACCTCTCGTTTCTCTGGCAGAACGGATACATCAACTTCGAGAAGCGGCGCAAGGTACCGGGCTGTGCCGGGCCTGCTGGGCTCCCTCCGCATCTGGCTTGGGGCTCCCCTCTGTCACTCTCTGCCTCTCCCTGGTACAGCCCCCCTCTATCGCTCTCTGCCTCCCCCCACTAAGTAGAGCTCCCCCAGGCTCTCTAATCTCCCCCTCACCCCAGTACAGCCCCCTATGCTCTCTATGCGGTCCCCCCCCGCTGGTTACAGACCCTGGGCTCTGTGCCCCCCTTCTGCCCCCAATATAGCCCCCCACACTCTCTGTGCTGCCCCCCAGTATAGCACCCCCCTGCTCTATGCCCCGCTGCCCTGTTATAGCCCTGCTGTCTGCAGTGCCCCCTCCCCGTGTAACTGCCCCGCTCTCTGCCCCCAGGAGTTCGAGGTGCTGGCCCAGCTGCGTCTCCTGCAGTCCATATGCCGCACCTACAGCGTCCAGCCCAGCTCCCACTTCCAGCGCTGGCTGCGGGCACTGCCCCCCCTCTCTGAGGCACAGAGGTAGCGGGGGGGGGGGAGCATCCCCCCGTGGCTGGGGCGGGGGGATGGGGTTTGTAGGTGCTGCGTGAAGTGGTTGCTGCATGTAGGGGATTGTGTTTGCATGTAGAGTGTGGTGTGGGGGTTGTGTAGAGTTGGGGGGGGGGTATTGTGTGTGATGCATGGGGGGTTGTGTTGTGTAGGGGGTGTGTGTAGAGGAGTTTGGGGGTTGTGTAAGGAGTGTTGCGTGTAGGAGGGGTGTGTGTGTAGAGGAGTTCGGGGGGGAGTTTGTGGGGTGTTGTGTGTATTGTGCAGTTCTAATCCCCCTCTCCCCACAGTCACAGTCTCTCCTGTGAGATCGAACCCCCCGGGGAGGCTCCAACCCTCCAGCGGTCCCTGAAGCCCACCCTGGTCATCACCCACTGCACAGAGTGAGTATGGGGGGGGGGGGCAGAGCTGAGCCGCAACTGAGGGAGGGGGGCTCTGAGGCATTGGGGGTCTGGAGGGATGGGGAGGCGGGCTCAAGGGTTGAAGGCTGGTGGGGCTGAAGGTAGCAGCCCCCCCTCAATCCTTCTGTTACCTCCCCTACCTCCAAGGCTGCTGAGCTCCGTGGGGAACCCTCTCGTCTCCTGGGAGGGGCCCAGCTCCCATGAGGGGCCCCCTGGCTGCTGCCACAACCTGCTGCCACCCCCCCGTGGCCCCACGCAGCTGCTGTCTCGCCTGGCGCAGGTGAGACACCCCCCCATTACCGCTTCCTCCCCCTGCCTGATCACCCCCCCCAGACCTGCACCCCCATCCCCTGTCCCATTCCTCCCCCACCCCCTTCCCCATCCCCCTCATCCCTTCCTCAATCCCAGCCCCTCGCTGCCCCCAGTCACCCCCTCTGCGTCCCCACAGCACATAAAGTGGCCATCAGTCTCAGCGTTGGACACAGCTCCTGAGGACGTGGCTCCCTTGGCCGGGGGCCTCTCGCCTCCCACCCCCACCGGGGGGGGCTTTCCCCGGGGGCACCGGCGCTCGGCTTCCTGCGGCTCGGCCTTCCCTGCCCCTCCCACCCGGGAGCCTGGGGCCCCCCCCTCCGATTGCTGCATTATCCGCGCGCGCATGGCCCTGCACAACGGCAGCCTCTACAAGAGCATCCTGGTGAGCACTGGATGCCTGGATCCCATCCCCAGGGTGGGGGCTGGGAGCCAGGACTCCTGGGTTCTATCCCGGCTCTGGGAGGGGAGTGGAGGATAAAGTGGGCGGCTGGGAATCAGGACACCTGGGTTGTCAATCCTGCCCTTTCTGTCTTGCTGTGACACTTTCCTGCTGCAGTCTTAGCCTGGCCCACCCACTAAACACTGTTAGTTTAGTCAGGGAACCCCCCCTTTTCCCCAGGGTGATCCCAATCCCACAGCTGCTGTGGGGAAGGGGCAACTGGTCCCCTGACTCACTGTCTCTCCCTGGGGGGAGGGGCTGCCCCACTGTGTGTGTCTGGTGTGGACGGGCTGGACCCCTACATGTCTGCGTGCGGCTGTGTTGTGTGTGCACATTGTTACAGGGGGTGGGGGTGTTGACTGGGTGTGGGGCTTTCTGGGGTGTCTGCTGGGATTTGCTGCATTCTCCTGGGATTTGCTGCGTTCTCCCAGCTTTGTGTGTTGTGCACATGGGGCATGTCTTTGTGGCTGCACTTGTGTTATCTCTGTGGGGCGATCACTTCCATGTACGTGGTGGTGGTCTCGGGGGCGCCTGGCCTGACTCTGTTGAGGAAAGTGGGAGTTGTGTGTTGTGTTGCTGTAGGTGACCAGCCAGGACAAAACCCCGTCCGTCATCGCCAAGGTGCTGGAGAAGCATGGCCAGGAGCTGGGGGCTGCCCCCCAATTCCAGCTGGTCCAGCTGCTGCCTGAGGGGAAAGGTGAGGGGGGCAGGGGAATTGATGTCCCTGGGGTAGGGATTGGGGGGGCCCATTGGGGGGTTGGGGAGCACCCACAGCAATGAGGGGTCTCCAAAGGTGTCCCTAGGAAGCTGGGGTCCCATGAGTGGGTGCGGGGACCCTATTCCCTAACTGCCCTCACACCCTCTCTCTCCCCCTGCAGAGCTGACCTTCCCGCCTACAGCCAACATCTTCTACGCCATGAATGGCTCCAGCTTGGACTTTGTGCTGCGCCCCAAGGGCCCCGGGGAACCTCCCCTGCCTCCCAGTGCTGCCCCCCGCAGGGCTGAGCTCAGCGCCACCTTCCCCAAGATCAAGGCCACCGGCCGCAAGCTTGCCAGGGCCCTCTTCTGATGGCGAACCCCGAAACTGCCCTGGGGCTTCCTGGGCTGGAGGAAAGGAAGTGACATGCGCCCAGACTCTGGGGAAGGGAACTGGAGCTGCACAGGGCCTAGGACTGTCTGCTTGGCCTGGGGCTACCTTCATCTCCCCTGGCACCAGGCTCTGGTCTGCCCCAGGACTGTCCAAGGGGCAGCCTGCCCAGCCCAGCCAGCTGCCTCAGGGCTATGACCTAAGTATCTTGAAATGGGTGATGTCCTGACAGCCCCTCCCCCCCCCCAAACACCAGTACCTACTTCCTGTCCACCCAGGAGGTACAGCTGGGCGGGGGGGCGACCGGAGCAGTGAGCCCACTCTCCCACAGCATGGTCTCACCCCTGCCAGGACGCTGCAGCAGAGGCCAGGGTGCTAATTCCCCTCTAGTCACAGGTGGGAAGTGGGATGCCCCTGCCAATGCCAAGATGGCAGCTTCTCAGGGACTCAACTGGAGGTGGGGGGAAGGACTGGGTGATCCAAGCCCTGCAGGGGCAGCTGATTTCCCCCTGCATCACTGTGTAGGGGGCTTGTGGCCCTAGCCCTCTTTGCTGTAACACTAACGCAATAAAGACACTAGAAGCAGCTGGCAGAGAGCTGTGTCTCTGGGGAGGCGGCATCTGCCTGGCACAGCACAGCCAGAGACCACAGGAGAAAGCTGAGGGGACAAAGCTCAGGGCAGGGCAGAGCACAGCTCAGAGCAGCAGCAGCGGCCCCAGGCCAGTGAGTGGATACCAAGGGGTAGGGGGCACAGAGGGCCAGGTGCCATCAGTTTGTGCATCACCTCTTTAATTTTTTTGCTGTTTGAAATAAATACAGCTCCCCCTCCCCCCCGGCCCACAGCCCCAAGGATCCAGCTTCCCCCACCAGCTCATGCCTTAGCCGTCCCCTTGCCCTGGGCTCGCTGATACTCCTGCTGCAGCCGGGCCAGCACCTCCCGCTGCTGTTCCGCCTTCTTCTCAGACTCCTGCATCTGCAGCTCATAGCGCTTGCTGTGGGGGGGAAGGGGAGAGTGAGATGGGCCTAGAACCCTCCCCCCAGCCCTGAAAACAAGAGAGGCCCCTGAGCTCAGGCCCCTGTCTGCCTGTGACCCCTAGAGGGGAAAGGCCCATTCCCCACCCCATGAGCCAGCCAGGGCCCCTTCCTGGGAGTGGAGCGAAGCCAGTGACCCCAAAAGGGGAAGGGCCCATTCCTCATCCTGTGAGCCAGCCAGTGTCCTTGCGGGGCAGGGAGCCAGCCCACCACACAGGAAACCCCCCTTCCTCACACACATACATCTCTCCAGTGATATAGTCCAGCCGCTTGCTGACAGTGGCTTTAGCCTCATCCATGTCCTGTTTCACCAACACGGGGCCAATCAGCTTGTAGACAGTGTTGGTCACATCCAGCAGCCCCAGCTCCTGTGGGGGAGCAGAACAAGGGGAGGTGAGGGGCGGGGAAGGGAGGGAGAGTACAGAGTGGGGGAGCAGGGCGCACTCACCTCCTTGACAATGTTGTTCTCAGTCAACTGTGCTTCCAGTTTCTGCCGTGCCGCCATGGACTTGCTGAGATCTGAGGGGCACACACAGAGGGACCCCATGAGCTCCAGGGCTGCAGCCCCATAGGGACACCAGAGACCTCTGCCCACATCACAGCCCCCAAGAAATCAACCTGCTATCTCTTATATTGCAGCACTGATGAATAACCCCCAGGGGTCTGCAGGAGAAGGAGACCCAGCTTCCCTCTGCCCGCAGTGGGGCTCTGCAGGCCAGTGGCTGGGGGTCTCTGGGCCAGTGCTCAGGGTACAGGCAGAAGGGTCAGGTGGCAGGGGAGCTCTCCCCACTGGGATCAGAGCCCTCAGCCTGTCAAGCCAGCTCCTTCCCCAGCCTGTGTATTCGCATTAGGAGTAACTGGGGGAAAGAGGGTAGAAGGGGGGCTCAGGGATGTGAGGGGTGGGAACGTGGAGGGTGCAATGAAAGGCCCCAGTGGGGGGGAGGAAATCTGAGGAACAGGAGGCAGTTTGTTTGTCCAGGGGATCGGGGGGAGCAGGGACCCCGGGAGGAGGTCAATGGGCTGCAGGAACCCCAGAGGGTGGAAAGGGGGGGGAGGTGGACTGTGGAAGGGGGCAGGACGCTGGGTAAGAGGAGGTGCAGCAGATCGAGGGGGGTGGCAGAAGGATTATGGCCTAGGTTAGGCAGGTTAGGAGGCAGGGTGCAGGGAGGTTGGGCCATGGAGAAGGGTGATGGGGAGGCGGTGCAGGGATGGATTATAGGGCGCAGCAGGCTACGGGGTACAGGCAAGTTATTGGGCATGGGGCGGGGTGCAGGGTCCCCAGAGGCAGGGGATGCGGGAGTATGGGGCACGGGTGGGTTAGGGGAAGGCAGTGGGGCAGGGCCCAAGATGGCAGTGGGTTATGGACAGGAATTAGTGGGGAGGTGATGGGGGAAGGGGATGCCTGGGGTTATGGGGCGGTAGGGGAGGCCTGGGGGGACAGGAAGGGGCCGGGGCGGGTTATGGGGCGGCGGGGGGGGTGATGGGGGGAGGGACCGGGGCGGGTTATGGGGCGGCGGGGGGGGGCGGCAGGGGGAGGGGCCGGTACCTTTCTGCAGCTGCTGGTATTTCTCCAGCTCGCCCTGCAGCTTCTTCTGGATCAGGTCCGCCATGAGGGTCCGGTCGGGTCCGGTCCGGTCCGGTCCGGTCCGCCTGCGGGGGGAGGGGGGTTAGAGCGGGGGGGGCACACGGTCCCTCCCGAGCGCCCCCCACCCGACCAGCACCTACCGCTCCCCGCTGCTCCGGCGCTGAGCCCCGCCCCGCAACGTGCGTGCGACCTCTCGGCCCGGCTTCCGGTACAGCCCACTTCCGCCGGGGGCCGCGGTGCACCATGGGATTTGTAGTCCGGCCTCTGAGTCCCTCCGCTTCCTCCCCTGCGGGATCAGGACCAATTCGGGGTCGCAGGTCCCGGCCCTCCTGGGTTGGGGAAAGGGCAGACGGGACAGAGAGACTCGCCTTCCACTTCCGCCCGCTTCCAAGATGGCCGCCGGCTGGGGGCCTTGAAGGGCAGCTCACTTCCGCCTCTTTCCAAGATGGTCGCGAGCTCGTGCGAGAAGCAGATTAAGCCACTTCCGCCTTTTTCCAATATGGCGGCATCGCTAGCCGGGGAGAATGCGCCTATTTCCGCCCTGTTCCAAGATGGCGGCCACCTGTGCCTGAAATGGGAAGGAAGCTACTTCCGCTCCGTTCAAAGATGGCGGCGCCTGGGTCAGGTCGGGAAGTTAGTAACCTGCCTGGGCCCATGTAATTAAAGCCTGAAGCCCTCCAGGCCCAGAGCAGGAGCACGGGAGACATGAGATTCACATGTTACCCACACGGCATTAGTGACATGACACCCGGGGTCCCAGCGCGTCTCCAACACGGCATTAATGACATCACACCCGGCATCACAGGTCGTCACCGACACGGCGTTAGTGACATCACACCTGGTGTCCCAGCGCGTTGCCGACACGGCACAAATGACATCACACCCGGGATCATAGGTCGTCACCAACATGGCGTTAATGATGTCATATCTTGTGCAGTACCGTGGGGCTAATTAATATTATCCCAGCTACGTCCTGGGATGAGGCAGTTAATCCCCTGGGGGCTATATGCTTCCCCCCCTACTCCCTGATTCTGGGGGGTCCCTGAATCCTGTCTCCAGACCCCAGCAAGCACAGCCCCTGGTCGGTCCCAGACATGAGCTCTTGTTTGGTCTGTCCAGCACCGCCCAGGGGGATGGTTCAAATCACAGGCCATGTTTGGGCATTTTCTAGGGGACCAGCAGGTGCAGCCGCCGTATCCTACCTGCCCCACCCCAGCCCGCCAAGTGAGCAGAGCTGCCAAGCCCTGCCCTGGGGCCTCAGAGGCAGGGGATGGGGGAGTATGGGGCACAGGTGGGTTAGGGGAAGGCAGTGGGGCAGGGCCTGGGGAGCAGGAGAGCCCCACAGGGAGGTGCTGAGTGACAGGCCACGGACAGGCGCGACACTCGAGTGAGAGGCCACAGGTACCCCCTCCCACGCCCCCCCATGCCTCTGCACCTCCCCCACTGCACCCCTCTCTGCCCTGCCCCTCCGGCAGTGGCCTCTATTTGGCCACTTGAACTGTGGGATTCCTCGGTGCCGGGAGTGCTCCCACAGGTGGGGGGGCAGAGGGCCCTTGCGGGTTTTCTCCTTCCTCACACACATCAAGCAGGGATGGTGCTGGTCCTGCTCCCTGGGCTGCCCCACCCCTGGGGTCACTGGCAGCGCTGCTCTCATGGTGAGGGGCTGGGTGGGGGGGCACCTGGCCATGTCCTGGGAGCTGGGGGGCGCTCAATGTGCTGAGCCTGCCGGATATGCTGGGAAGCAGCTACTTTGGGGCCCCCAAATTTCACGCTCCATGCAGGGGGCAGGCACCCTAGACAGCCAGCCTCCTGCCTCTTACACATTCCCGGGGAGGGGCAAGCAAGGGCTGGCCTGGGCCAGAGGCACAGCCTTTGCCTTGCAGTTTAAGTCCCGTGTTCCTGGGACGCGGGCTCCTCCCAGGGCCATGTCCCCAGCGGGACGGCGTGCACGAGTCAGCCGCGACTAACACCGTGCTGAGCCATACATGTAGCGAAAACAAGGGGCGCGGCTGCCAGCAAAGATCCCCGTGAGCGTGAGGAAGGCTAGTGGAGACAGGTGGTTACACATAAAATCAACACGCGCTTTCTAGAGGCGACAGGTCACAACCAGGTCAGTGCTGCCTTGGGCCCCGACCTGCTCGAGCCCGGCCCCTCTTGCCGAGCCCAGGTTAGCCGCCTGTCCGAGGAGGTCTGTCTCGGCAGCGTTTTCAGCGAAGGTTGGCTGAGCGCCTGTCTTCATGCATGCAGCCGCAGCGTCTGTGTGCGGGGTGCAGGGTGTCTTTACCTCCCGACGTACCCCCACAGGTAATGGTCTGTGCACACAGCCAGCATCCCCCCCACCCCCTCCGGGGCTTGTGTTTTCCTGGTGACTGTGTGTGTAACGGGGAGTCCCGCCAGCGAGCGAGGCCAGCTCTTGTCAGACAGGAAACCTGGTTTTGCCCATGGCGGGCGCCTCCTACGTGCATTCAGAGGTGGGTTTCACGGGACACACGCCCAGCTCCTCGCACGGGGGCTGTACACACCTCTCACAAGCTACCCTGACCCGTGTGACCCCCAGCGCTCACTGGAGGCCTCGCCTGGAAACACCAGACCCAGGCGCTGTCTCTCTACCGGCTTCCGGGTCAGCGCCACACAGAGCAACGGGGGGGGGGGGGAACTGGGGGGGGTACCGGGGGGGTTGATGGGAGAACTGGGGGGGAGACGGGGTGATGGGAGAACGGGGGGGGGCTGGAGGGTGGGTACGGGGGGACATGCCAGTGGGGGAAGGGAGAACTGGGGGGAGGGGGCTGGCGGGTGGGTGCTGGGGGGAGATGCGGGGGGGGGGGGAGGGAGAACTGGGGAGCGGGCAGCGGCGGCTGCAGCGGCGGCGGGGGAACATGCCGGGGGGCGCTAGAGGGTGGGTACGGGGGGGGGATATGCCGGGGGGGGAGGGAGAACTGGGGGAGCGGGCAGCGGCGGCTGCAGCGGCG